ATGTCTATTAGACTTCAGCGATACTTTTGCAATCACATTGCAATGATATTGCTTTTTCAATTACATTTGCGATGTCTTTGCATTGACATCGCAAATGGATGAAGCGTTTTTTTAACAATGAAAAGGTGAAAAATAGATAAGAGCAAAAGAAAAATAAATAAAAGCTGTTTAGAATAGAAGTTTTGAAAAAAAAAAAAGTGAAAACAATGAAAGTAATAAAGAATAAAAATTGAAGAAAAACATTAAACAGAAAAACACAAATTTAAAAGAAGAAAAGTTTTTGTGATTCGAAAATAAAAAACCTCAAGTTATAAAAAGATACAAAAATAAAATTTTTTAAGTTTTATTAGTTTATGTTGTATGGATTGCTTACAACTCAACAGGGTTGTTGATCTCTACAACTAATCCTGTTCTCGGGTTTTGCTCCACAAATTTTTAGATGTTTCATCATCAATATTGTATATCTGTCATCAAAATCGCTTGCCAGATGGTTTTTTACTGATGTGGCATTTGTGCACTATGAACTGTTAAAGGCTGATAATAGTATTTTCTCCCACTGTGGGTTCATCTAGTGGCATCCAGGTGCTTTGTTTTTTTATGGCAGGTGTATATCAAAGTTTTTTAGCTGATTATTTACAGACTCTCAAAATCTTTGCAATACTATGTTATGTCAATTTTTGACTGCATAGGACTATGATTTTGGGTCCTCTGCATGTGTGTCAGGGACTTTTTTCTTCCCATACCAGAACAAGGTGTTAACAGCAACTAAGAAAAATCAGAACTTGGTGTTGACGTCAGCTAAGAATTCTTTCAAAACAAGAATTACAATTAAAACAATTTATATGATGCAATCAGGACAGCTGGCTAATGCAATCTAGCTGATGAAATCCCAATTTTGGCAATTTTTGGTATTTGGTTTTGAACTTTTAATTATCTATTTATCTCACTTTAATTTTTTGAATTCAGATTATTTTTTATGAAAAAGAAAAAGAATTTTTAAATAAATTTTCTTCATTTGTAGCTATTTCCTGTCCAAACCCAACCTTCAGTATATGACCTCTGCCTTTTTTATTATGATTTATATTTTTATTTATTTTAAAAGACTAGTTAACTGATGCGTTTGTTTTGTTGTATAGATTGTCACCTTGCTGTTACAACGTATTCCATGATTGCGCATACAATGAAGAGATCATATGAATCCACACTAGTATGATTTGTTTGTTTTAAACATTTTGTGACAAAAAAACATTTATATTTTAACTTAGTTCAAAAAACATTTATATTTTAACTTAGTTCAAACTTCAAAGTTCCAATTTTATAAAATAAAGAAACATTTTTTATTTTTTTTGCTGTTTATCTTCAAGATTCTTTTTGTATTTATAAATTAATTATAAAAAAAAATCAAAAATTATTTGATTGAAACATTTAATCAAAAAAACATTATAAAATATATATAATTAGTTAATTATTCAGCACTCGAACTTAGGATCAGCATTCGACAATGCCGACTTAACTGCTGACCTGCAAGTGTTTGAGATCGGCAAAAAATTACCAACTTTATTTCTATGTTTTATGATAACCTCTTTGTTTAAAATTTTTATTGCCATCCTCTGACAGTTTGAGGTCTGCAGTTTATTGTTGATCCCTGAGGGTTAATTATAAACCCCTGATTTATAAAATCCTTTAGAGTTCAGTTTTTTTAAAGTGAATCAGGGCATCAAAATATATAATATAAACTAAATTTATAAAAAGTATGCTTTTTAAAATAAAAGGTTTATATTGCTTTTTTAAAATCACAAAAATTCATAATAAAATTCTCTCTTAAGCTGATCTTAAATATTAAGATTTTATTGAATTTTTATTAAAAGTTATTTCTGTGTTTTTAAAAAAGTTAAAAAATGTTAAATAGTTTATTCGGTTGTTTCTGTAAATTTCATTATTTTTCAATTAGAGACACCAGTAAACAGCAAAAGAATTTAAGGCCATCCCAAAGTACATTTGACAAACAGCTTTTTTGTAATATTTTTTCGTCAAGTTAACTTTTTAAAATAAAATTTCTAAATGATTGGCTTAAAAGTATTTAGACAAACTAAAGATTATTACAACTTGACTAAAGACTATTACAACTTGATATATTGGACCTACTCTATCACAGCTAAAACATGACCAACCTTTACTGAGCCACCACCTTTTACTGTGGTATTTTGACACTTAACATTATTTCAGTGACCTACTGAATGTCGAGCATGTTTTATGCCATCTAAGCCAAACATAAAAAATTTTGATTCATCACTCCATAGTATTTTTTACCATTTTTATGCTCTAGATGTTCTTCAGCAAGTTGTAGAATGTTTATTTTCATTAAGTTGTAGAATGTTCATTTTCATTAAGATTTGTTTTAGAGTTCTACACTATTTTATCAAACTTTTTTACTGCTTTAAATATTTATTATGTATCATTATGATGAATTGATTATTGATTACTTTAATAAAAATGATTGTTCAGAAAATTTTGAGCATTTATCTACAAATTTGGTTGTTTTTTTGATATATATATATATATATATATATATATCAAAATTGAAGTATAATTTGACATATTGACATTTAAATTGATTTAAAAAATTAGTTTTAATGAGAAAATATTATGAAAATTATTTTGTCCAATTACTTTTTGTTTATGGCTATGATTTATGGTTATGGTCCAATTACTTTTAAATGCTTTTGTAATTTATTATCATTTATTAATGATTTTTCTGAAATTTAGATAATGGATTTTTTGAAAAATACGGAATGGGGTTTAATGCTTCTTGATGGTATAAACCTTTTTTCATTGTTATTGTGTTTATTATTTGTCTAAAAATTTATTGATCAAAAATAAATACAATTAATAAATTTTTATACTTTTCATAATATAGCATTTTTTATAATATAGGTGTTTTTTTAAAAGTTATAAAAAAAAAGAACTTTTTTAAAAAAAGAACCAGCAATGTTTGAACTAATAAAGTTTATTAAAAAAAAACACTTTATTTACATTTTAATAATCTTTTTTAATAACTTGCATTTTTTTTCTCCAGATTTTTATTAAACTGTTATGATAGTTACAGTTCACAATAGTTACAGTTCACAATAGTTACAGTTCACAATAGTTACAGTTCACAATAGTTACAGTTCACAATAGTGTATAGAGTCACAACATTTCTAGTTCACACTCAACATGTGGCATGCTTATCATGATTTATAAATTGGAATTAAAGGATTAAAAAGAAACAACAACTAAAATAAATAAAATTTAGCAGCTTTAATTTCAGATAATCTCTTGTAATTGGTAATATAATTTTTTTTATTGTTAACGAACAAAAAAGCAAATATTGGTATTCAAATCTAATAAAAACAAATTTAAAAAATCTCTAAATCTAATGTTTGTTTTTAACTTTTATATTCTTAATTCAAGTTAGTTTTCATAATGTTTGGGGAAAAAAACTTTTCTCAAATGTTTATGACTTGCACTGATTGGAAATAATATTTTTGTTATCTGTGTGTATGAAGGGATCTTTTTTTGTGGTTCTTACTCCAATAAAGATATTTAGTGAAGATTTGTTTTCTTCTAGAAGTTCATACAATTCCAGCAAAACAGTTCCGAAGAGTACTTACTAGTAAGTTGTTGAAAACTAAAAAATGTTGTTACAAACTTATGCTTGCAGTTTATGTATAAATAAGAAATTGAAGATTTTTTCTAGTTGTTAATGCTCATTGCAAGCTTGGTTTGACAGCTACTCTAGTTAGAGAAGATGATAAGATACAGGTTTTTAATGATACTTATTTTTTGGTTACTATGTTTTATATTTGTTAATTTTATAAAGTAAAGAAATTGTTTTAAAAAGTATTTATGGTATAGGAGTTCCATATTTAACTTTACATTTGAAATGATTTATTCAAAAAATTTTAACAAACCTCTTTTTAAAGTAACTAAATTGAATGAAAAACACATCATTATATATTACTTATTGTTTATATTTACTTATTTTTTAGAAAAGTTACTGTGTATTCAGTAATGTTGAAAAATTTTCTTTGGTTGCTAATGTTTCAGAGGATAGTGTGTATATCTATCTATTTATCTATATATATATATATATATATATATATATATATATATATATATATATATATATATATATATATATATATATATATATATATATATATATATATATATATATATATATATATATATATATATATATATATATATATATATATATATATATATATATCTGTGTGTGTGTATATATATATATATATATACACATATATATATGTATATATATATGTATATATCTTATACTGCTGAGTATATATATATGTATGTATATATATATATGTGTATATATATATATGTATATATATATATATATATATATATATATATATATATATATATATATATATATATATATGTATGTATATATATATATATATGTATATATATATATATATGTATGTATATATATATATATATATATATATATATATATATATATATATATATAAATATATATATATATATATATATATATATATATATATATATATATATATATATATATATGTATATTAGGGGTGCATCGATGCCTACTTTTGGTTGATGCTAATTTTGATTGGTACAGGTCAATACCAATGCATCAGCATCAACCCTAATTTCGAATTCCTACTCTTTTCTTTTTTACTAATAGATAAATTAGGATTTTTTTTTCAAATATATTGTTAATGGTCAATTTTAATGCTTGCTTATTTGCTAATGTTTGCTTAATGCTTAGTTTGTTTTTTTGTTAATGGTTTAATGATTTTTATTTTGAAGAGGATAATGTTTTTCACCTTCAAAAAAAAATATTGAATCATTAACAAAAATTTACTATGGGGGAAAATTGGGTTTTTTTAGTTTCCTGAAAGTTTACATTATTGGACTTACGCCTTTTTAACATTCACCAATTCATATATATATATATATATATATATATATATATATATATATATATATATATATATATATATATATATATATATATATATATACATACATACATACATACATACATACATACATACATACATACATACATACATACATACATACATACATACATACATACATACATACATACATACATACATACATACATGCATGCATGCATACATACATAGTTATTATTTTTGTCTATAAATTTTTTTTATTTTTTTGGCGTGTTTCATAGCTTTTTAAAAGCTTGGTTGTATTAATTTAGGATCTTAATTTTCTGATCGGGCCAAAACTTTATGAAGCAAATTGGATGGAATTACAAAATAATGGATATCTTGCTAGAGTACAATGTGCTGAGGTATTATTGTCTAATTATTTATTTATTACCTCATGAGAGTTGCATAACTTATTTTATATTAGCTTATATTAAATTGATAGTTATTTACTTTAAGGTTTGGTGTCCAATGAGTCCAGAGTTTTACAGAGAATATTTGAGTATACCATCTAGGAAGCGGAGTGTATGTTATCTGATAGAATTTGTAGTTTTTACTTTTAAAGTGATTTTGTCAAGTTATTGAAAAAAAACTTTTTAAAAATATCTATAAAACTTTTCCCAATTGTTTTAATTGTTTTTAGTTATTTTATGTGATGAACCCCAACAAATTTAGAGCATGTGAGGTTTGAATTTTTTTTTAATAAAAGAATTTTTTTATGCTGAAGTAATTATAAATAAATCTTATAAATAAAAATTAAAAAATCAAAATAGTTTTTAATAGTTTGTTTGTTTTTAAAAAAATGTTTAGAAATTTTTTTATTTATGTTCTAAATTTTTTTTTTTCCTTTTTTTTTATACAGTTTTTAATTCGATTTCATGAAAGGTGAGACAAATGATTGTATTATGCAATTCCACGTGTATTAAATTTAAGAATATAGAAAATTATGTTTATAGTATTATGTTGTAATTATTTTTATAAATTACTCATTTCTATTAAAGGAGGAATGACAAAATAATTGTTTTTGCTGATAACGTATTCGCCCTGAAACATTATGCAGTAAAGTTGAACAAGTAAGTTTTTATTTAGTAAAGTTGAACAAGTAAGCTTTTAAGTGATCTTAGTTTTACATGTAGAGCTCATAAAATTTTAATAAAATATCTTTTTGTTAAGTTAACTAATATAAGATAAATATATAAATTCTTCCTGCTTGTATTTTTTTTTATAACATAGTGTTGGTAGCATATGTTTTAAAGACCAAAAGTGCTGGAGATTTGTTTTGTTTATTTAATTTATAAAATATTGAGCACAACATATCTTGTGTTTGTGTCATCTGTTAATCAAATCCAAAACCTGTTACTTCTTTTAAACTTAAATTTATAAGCAATAGATTAAACAATCTTTAATTAAGGAGGAATGATAACTAAATGTTTGTTTAAATGCTGAACCAACTTGAGCAGATATGGAATTTCTCAGTTTTAAAATTTTTCTTTCCAGTTTTTTATCCGTATTGCTATTGCTTTTAAAGTTTCAGGTTTTATTTTTTATTTTTAGTTTATCATTCAAGATTTTAACATTTCCTAATATTCATTAGAACTGATTTTTATTATGAATCAACCTTATCATCAGCTTTAACATCACTTATTAAACTTGAAAATCATTTTCATGATGCAATTTTAAATCAGCTTTTATACTTTTATCATAATAAATCAAGGTCAATCTTGACATTTATAAATTTTCATGGGTGTAGCACATTGTTTTAATGCTTCACATAAATCTGCAACTAAAGTAAGATCTCATTTATGTCTTAAAATCCAAGATATCTTTAACTTTAATCTTATCTTTAAATCCAATAAACTCAAATGATAAAAACAAAAACTTTTAGTTCAGCAAGTTACTTCTCCCATTTTTAATTAGTTACACAGCCTCATAGAATAGATAAAATTTTCTTAATGAAATAGAAAGATGGATATTTTTCATATATTTCTTCGGTATTGGTTATTCATTATTTCATTTATTTGCACTCAGAAAATTCCTACTAAGTAATTTCATTTTTAAATAATTGCTATTAATTCATAAAAAAAAATTTTTAAGTATACTTTTGTGGAGTTATGACTACTCAATGTCATCATATATAAAGGAATTTACCAGCATACAGTTATGCTGGTAAAACCCTTATAAAATAGATTTAAATATTGTTGGCATTCATGATTGTAATTATATGATGTTGGTATTAATAATTGTACGCTTTGATGTTGGTACCACTTTTCATCTTTTTTTATACAAAATCTTTTGTCTTGTTTGAATTGGTAGAAAATAAAAATACTGATATCAAGACTTGACTAGTGTAAGTAACAGTCAAAAAAAATTTGTAAAATACTTTGTGTTTTCTGATGCAATTTTTAATTTATATTTTATGATTGATTGTTACATTTTATTTAACACCCCAGAACTTTTTTGAGGCATAAATGTGTTATATCAGGTTGTATAAATGTGTTATATCAGGTTGTATACTTTAATATTAAGCGTTAGACTTTATACTTTCTGTATATACCAGCTGTTAAGTTAAACATCTTTTTTTTAAAAAAAGTTTTAGATTCCTAAAATGTTAAAAGTAAGTTTCATGCCTCATAGTTCCATAGGTTGTTTAAAATTTTTTTTTAAACAACTTATGGAATCATTTTTCTTGACAATGGCACAGAGACTATTTTAGATTTCCCATAGCAAATTATTAATAATATAAAAATTAAAATGTCTTTGCTGTTATAGGTAATAATTGATAAAGTGCATGTAAAATTTATTGGCTATCATTAGGTGTTGTGTTATCATTAAATGTTGTGTTATCATTAAATGTTGTGTTATCATTAAATGTTGTGTTATCATTAGATGTTGTGTTATTATTAAATATTGTGTTATCATTAGATGTTGTGTTATTATTAAATATTGTGTTATCATTAAATGTTGTGTTATCATTAAATGTTGTGTTATCATTAAATGTTGTGTTATCATTAGATGTTGTGTTATCATTGATACTTTTTCAAAGTGTTTCTAATAACATGTAGTTAATATGTGTTTAATTTTTATTTAAGGCCTTTTATCTATGGACCTACATCACAAAATGAGAGATTGCATATCATACAAAACTTTGTTCATAATCCCTTAGTAAACACAATATTCATTTCTAAGGTAATGTTTCTTTTTATAGTTAAACAGTGTTAAAAACCTTTGTGCTCTTCCAAAGATGAATCCTATTGAATTGATTATTAAATAATAATCTTTTATAGAAGTTGTTTGTATAGATTTTAATTTTTTTTTTTGTATAGGTTTTAATTTTTTTTTTGTATAGGTTTTATTTTTTTTTTTTTTTTTAATAGCTTTAGCTATTTATTTTATTGGAAATTATTTTTAAAATTTTTCATGGTGAAATTTTTTTTTTTTAGGTTGGTGATACATCTTTTGATATGCCTGAAGCAAATGTCCTTATTCAAGTAAATTATTTTGTTAACTTGAATTACATAATTATTTGTATATTTATTTTGTAAAATTAAAAACACAAAAATTTTGTAAAATTTTGTAAAATTGTTTACACACAGAAAAAAAAAATGTTCAATGTTTTATTAATAAACGTTTAAAAATATAATTTTTACACAGAAAAATTAATATTTAGATTTCTTCTCATGGTGGTTCAAGAAGACAGGTTATTATTTTTTTTAAACATTAAAATAGAGAAATCTTACAAATTTAATGTTTATCTAACTCTTTGATCTGTGGTCACCCTGAAATATGAATACATTTTTAGGCCTCAATGAAGTATGATTCTCTTTATCACAGAAATTATTTGTACATTAAAACTTTTTTTGAAACATTCGTTTATAGCTAATCTTTTATTTAATTTTTTTTATAACATTATCCATCAAAATACTTTCATTGTATTTATAATTTAAGTGGAAGCTTTTTTATCTGTCAACATTTTTTCGGATTGAGTTAAAACTTTTTTATCCATCATAAATAGATAACTTATTTTGTAGTTATTCATTAGTTTATATGAAGTTAAGTCCTTATTTATATTATAATATTAATATTCTTTAAATAAAAATAACAACTAACATTTTTAATAATAACTCAATGTTTAAAATTGAGTTATTATTAAAAAAGGCCCAAGACCCTTAAATATTTACAGGGTCATAGATATTTTTCATTGATATTCAAAAAAGCTCTCCAAAAGAATGTCTAACATTTGATAGCAAGCGCTTAATACTCTTTCTAAAAATAAAGCATAACCTATATATATATATATATATATATATATATATATATATATATATACATATATATATATAAGAGAGAGAGAAAGAGAATGGATATAATATATCCATCATTATATATGCGTATATGTGTGTACATATGTGTATATATTTATTAAAATCACATTTATTGTTATAATTTTAACAATATTAACACTTAGTATCCTTTTTACCAAGGAAGCCCAACGCCTTGGAAGAATTTTGCGAGCTAAAAAAGGTATGGAGTCACTGAAGCACGTTAAAATCAAATATTTTAGCTATTATTTTTTTATATTGTTGTATAATTTTCAGTATTATCCATTATGTTATATGTATATTGTTCTATGATATATAAATACTATAATGTCAATATAATTTTACTATACTATTATCTAATTTATTTTAATTTTTATTGTGTACTTACACACTAAGTTTGTTGTGTACTTGCACATTTTTACATTTAATCAACATTTTATTAAGTGGCTTACCTTAGGACCGTCATTTTGAAAGTCTGATTTTTTAAATATTTTACTTAAAAAATGCTGATATATTTTTGTTGTATGTTTACAAATGAATATATTTTCAGACATGGCTGCTGAGGAATACAATGCATTCTTTTATTCATTGGTATCAACAGTAAGTTCTTAATATTTTAGTTTTTGTGTTAAATAGTTTTTTGGTAAGTTTTATTGAATTCTACCATTCTATTTATCTACCATAACAGATATTGCTTTTTGCAATTCACCAGTTTTTTTTTTATTTTGTACTTTTTTGGAGTACATTAAAAACTAATAATAATAGTAATTATAATGCTAGTACTGCTAGTAATGATAATTATAAAAAGCATATTTGACGAAAAGATTATATAAATAAGTTTAAAGTTTTCATTTAAAATCAATATTGACTTTAATTACTAAATATTATAATAACTTTTATTGTTTTTGTTATATTTTCTTTTTGCTATTATTTTATTATTTATTTATTTTTACTTCCTTTTACATTTTTTGACTCTTACTTTTACATTTTTTGACTCTTTTTTTTACATTTTTTAACTTTTTTACATTCGTTGATATCTCATTGATGGATTCTATTTTTAAGTAATTTATATGATGATGTATGAAAGTTTTTTTCAAATTTGGACTTTTAATTTAGGACACAGAAGAGATGTTCTTTTCAAATAAAAGACAACGTTTTCTAATAAATCAAGGATACAGTTATAAAGTATTTTTATTTTTTATTCAAATGTAAATATAAATTTTATCGATACAATAAAAAATATACATAAAAACATTTTTTACATTAATTTAATTTATTAAATGTTTTAGGTTATAACAAAACTCGCTGGAATGGATGAGGTAATTTATATGAAATAAAGATTGGTTTTCATAAATATTTTCCTTATAGTTTGTAAAACATGAAAAATATAGGTTTGGTTAATTTGTATCTTTTTTGTTTAGGAAAGTTTATCATACTCAAACAAAAAAGAGCACCACGAGTTATTGCAAAAGGTTTTGTCTCACTTATTACGGTTTCTACGGATTTCTACGGATATGAGATTTTTATTTACTTATTACGGTTTCTACGGATTTCTACGGATATGAGATTTTATATTCACTTATAACAGTTTCTACGCATATAACATAATATACTCATTTGTCACAGTTTCTACAGATATTAAAACTAGGGAGTGCTAGAGGTAAAGCTGGTATGCGACAATCTGTATTGGTAATATTTTGCCGATCAGCACTTGGTTTCAGTGGGATATTTCAAAACCAATCAATTACATTTTAAAATATTTTTGTTACCAATTATTTGTGGTTGGTTTTAGAAATAAATAACCAACTTTTGTATAAAGCAAAACGAATTTTTGCTATTATCTGTTAATTTTTGAGGCATAACCTTGTCTAACTAAATTGGAAATGGTTAATAATTTCAGATTTAAATAATAATTTTTTAAGTTTTATTATTATTTCTGAAAATATTGGTAAATTAGTGACTAGCCTTCATATTAAGGGAAATTTTGAAAATAAAATGTCGGTCAATTAGTTTTGAGATCTTTAATTTTTTGCGAATTTTAATGTTTATTTAAATTAAGAATTAATATGTATTTATTTTTGTTATTAATTTTCAAGTTGTTGTTTTTTTTTCCTCAGGTATTAGCAGCTACTGATACAGATGCAGAAGAGGAAAAAATACCTGGAGATTCGGCAAACAAATCTGGAAATGTGAGATTTTTTTTTTTAGATATAAATTTGACATTGAGTTATTAGTATAACATTTAAACGATACTTCGTAGATATTTCGAAATTTGTTAAATTCATAGTTTTTTTTTTTAATAAAATTGTTCTAATAATTATTCAAAAGAGATGAAATTTATACAATATAAATAAAATAAAAAATTTAATAGTAAAATGCGACTTTTTTTTTTTTTTCATTTTTTATTTTTAAATTGATACTTTTTAAAAGTATATAATAGATTCCTGAAATCTTTTTTTTTTAATTCTGGATTCGAATGCATTTTTAATTAAAATTAATACTTTTTTTTTACGTATTTTAATTGAATATCTTCTTTTTGTTATAATATTTTTCGCCAATTTCTTCATTCTGTTTGTAAATTGATTTTTCTCTACTGTTCGCCAACTGATTTCCCTCTGTTCGGCGACGGTTTGAAAAGCGACTATAGTTTATATTAAAATAGTTTTTCTTTTTAACTCGTATATTTTAAAAAATAATTTATTTTAGCTGTCGGTTGTTCGTCGTCAAGGCTCAATGGCATCAATGTCTGGAGCCGATGATATGGTTTATTCAGAATATTCAGGCAAAACGAAAAGTCGACATCCGTTATTTAAGAGGTTTCGTCTGTAACAACAGTATGAAAAGCAAACGTTAGTCGTTAATTGTTTAGGCAGTTGTTTTCAACCGAGATTCATTTTACACAGTAGTAATAACAATTATTAAATGTTATTTTCAAGGCTTCGTAACTAGTTTAAACGTGTTTTTTTATAAAAAGCACAAATATCAAGAGAATAGCAGATGACGTCGACATCAAGAGAATAGCAGATGACGTCGACATCAGCGAAAACTCCGATTTTTGTTATTCTTTTAAATTAAATATTTCGTTAAACAAAACATAACTTGACATTATCCTAAAACATTTTATGAAGGCAGAAACGAGCGCTGTAATAAATTCAAGCCACAAATAATCGTGATGAGTATCATACCAATATGCAATCATTAAAAATTAAATGTTTCGCATCTAAACGGTTAACGGGATAAGAGTTGTTCTAAATTATTTAAGCTTCTATTTAAAATTCGCTGTTTTTCGTTAACTCTTATGAATTTAACCCTTAAAGGCCTAGGCTCTAATTAGAGAAGCTAACTTTAAACAAATTCATTTTCTCATAGATTAATATCATATCACTAATTTATTTAAAGTCAAAATACCCAGCTCAAGATATATTTTTTGAGATTACAAAAATATAAAGGCAATTGAGGATTTGAGATAATAAAAATATTAATGCAAATCCCTAAGTACCGCCACTTTCAACAGCAAAAAACAATAAATAAGTTTTTTTCATAAGTTAACACGCCATCGTAACTATATATTACCCCTGTTTGATATAATCTTATAACACGCTTAATTCATGCAAGCCTCCATGGAGGTTTTTTTGCATGAATTTAGCGTGTTATAAGATCATATGTGAACAAAATGAATTATATTTTATCTTCTTTATGTGCTTAAAGGAATTTAGCATGGCATAAGTTATGTGCACAAAGGTGTACAAAATATTTAAAATTAAATTTCTAAATAGCATAAAGTAGTAGAACCTTAACAAAACATAAAACCTTTTAACCTATGTAAAATAGTTTCCAATCAGTCATTATTGCATGTGTATATTTTTTGCTACACTATTTCCAAATCTTGGAAAAGTATATGGTACTTCGCTCAAAGCATTATTTTTTTTTTTTGTCAGTCCTTATCTTGACGCTGTATTTAAAGCTGGAAAATTTCCCGACTTGCACTAGCCTCGTTTTTTATGAAGTATAATTTCTATTAGAACTTAAGGTGAGTTTCCACTCATCCGTTTTTCTACGGGAAAGGAAAAGGGAGCGGAAAAATAATCACGTGAGCATGCTCGGACAAATAAAAACTTTTATTACGTATGCTCACGTGATTATTTTTTTCTTTCCGATCCCGTTCCCGTTGAAAAACGGATGAGTGGGAAACTCGCCTTAACTCAGCCAATTCAAAGCTTCAAAAAGTTTCTTGATTGACCGCAATCATAATTTTAAAAATGTTTATTTAAGTGCACACCATAAATAAAGGGTTAAATCTATTTTATAAAAATGTTTGTTCGAGGGTGCACATGTTAGTATCATGGGTGGTTGGTAATTCTGTATTTTTAAATTATTCTATTAATTTAAAAATTTTCGAGACCTAATTAAAATAATTTTAATTAGGTCTCGAGAAATTCTTTGATTATTCAGTTAGTTTTCAAAAATAAATTTTATGCAATTTTAAAAAAGCGAATTGCTACCTTTTGGTTTTTTAATTTTTTTTTTTTTCATAAGATATAATAGTAAACACTTCAGTCACATGATTTTTCCGTGTGACAAGTTCAGACTTATAAATTTTTTATTTCAGTTTAATTAACATGGAAAACTACGTAAACTTGTGTTTTTAAGAAGATAATGTATGAGAATATTTTTAATTTTATTTTTCAAAGGTGTAGCAGCAGATTCAAACATCATTGCGAGATGAAATAAATTTTTTTGGAGTTGAAAATAGGGGGGGGGTTCAGGATTTTATGACGTCCTTTTCAAGGGGGTTATGGGGAAAAAGGACAACCGGTGACAAAGGGGGGAGGGGGTCAAAAATTGGCTAAAAAATGGTGACGTCCTTTATGGATGGCCCCAAAAAACTATAACTTCGAAAAGCTATAACTTTTATTTTATTTCTTAAACCTCTGAATTTCCTTATATTATATATCAAATGGAAGAATATTAAACAGGCTTTCAGAGTTTAATGTAAAATATTTTATAAAACCACATTTCGTGCCGTGAAAATGCAGAAAATAAAAACCTTTTTAGACTAGGAAATAATAGAATACTTGAATGTGACTTTTATTAAACTCTGTATGTTTCTGTAAGAAACTTTTTTTATTCTTATATATTTGCCGTACATATAACATTTATAAGTTTCGTAAATTAAAGGTGTAATATTTACAAGTCTCGTGAGTCAAAATATATAATGAAACTTATAATTAAATAGTAGGCCGGACTTCAAGAAGGTCGTAATGATCTTATTACGAAGCCCTTACAATGTGATTGATATATATTATGATTATGTTTAATATAATTATATATTAAGTACAACTATATTTTTATAGTCTTTAAATTAAGTTAAACTCATAATAAAAGATAAACTCAAAATAAGCTCAGGATAAAAATTTAAACATAACAAGCAGCATATTATATCACCCTATTTTTGAGTAGCCGTGGCGCAGTGGTAGCGCGCTTGCCTCAGAAACGTAAGATCCGTAGCTCAAACCCCTGGGCAAGCTTTGCGACAGCGGTTGGGAAAGAGGCGTGAACTTCCCATTAAATGCTCTTCCGCGGTGCTCTGTGATAAGACCGTAAGGACTTCTTGGGGCACCTTAATCAACTTAAAAAAAAATAACTAAAATTGATAAGAAAAAGATCAAGTGTTTTTTTGTGTGTGTAGTAAACAATTTTTTGATATATTGGTTGAGAAAGGTAAGGGTCATTTAGATAATACACATAAACGACTCAGTTCACTCTGTAGTTGATATATATGTAATTTAATTTATAGTCTTAAAAGAATTCAGAGTATCTGCTTAGATTCAGTATCAGATTTTTTAACTTTATTTTCAAGGAATTTTGATTATCTGGATTGCAAATTGATTTATTTTTAGTTACTAGTTTGTTGTATAAATAAGGACCCCGATATGAAATTAAGAACTGGGAAAGTTTTGTTTTTTTGAAAGGTGTAACAAAGTTTCCTGTTTCTCTTGTATTATATTTATTAACGTTATTTATAAAAAAAGTAATTTAAAATATGGTTTGGTACTTGACCTAATATAAATTTTAGCATAAACAATATATTTTGGTAAATGTTAATTTTATAAATGTTAAGCACATTCATTTCTTTAAATAAGGGTTCAGCGTGTGTAAATTTGTCTTTATGATAGATTAGTCTTATAGCATGTTTCTGACGTCGCTATACAGTTTTCAATATGTGATTATATGCGTACTCGCCCAAACTATATTCGCATATATGAAACTGAATACGTATGGATTAACTTCGATCATTCTTCTTTTAATCTAATAAAAGTTTTAATGCCGCCCCAACCCGCTCAAGAACAACTATCTTCAATTTAAAAATGTTTCTACTTAAATTGTTTTTTTTTTTGTTGTTTTTTTACATAAAACATTTTTAGTCAGTGCTAAAAATTACGCTCCAATTTTATTTTTTAATTCATTCCTTAACATACATAAATTCAAACTATTAGATTAAAAATAAAATCAAAAAAATGATTTTTTTTTAAATACAAAAGAGGTTTCCCCCAAGTAAGTGGGTCTTGCTGAATAAGAAAAATCATGCAAAATAGAAGCAGTGATATCATTTAATAATAATAGTTTTAAACTATTTTAATTAAAGGTAAATTTCATAAACATTGCTGAACAACGCAATCTAGTTGTTGATTAACATCGATTAGCTCAGGTAAAAGCTCTTCATTAACATCCTTACTTCTTATGGAATTTTTAATCAGTAAAAGTTGCAACATCACTTTTTGTAGTATTGAATTACATACAGACTTCAAACGTCTTTTCAAAATAATACCGGAAATATAAGGATCTGATTCTTCTAAACCTCGACAAAAAACATCAGTTAAGCTGACAAAATTATTTCAACCATGAGCTTCATGAGCAAAAACTTTATGAACGAAAGTAGAAATTTTATATCATGAATTGTTCTCATTGATAATTAAAACTGTTTGAAGACAATAATTTTCAAATTTGATTGGATAACTTGGATTTTGACAGGACAAAGATATTAATATTGTTTTTTAAATAGACAATAAGATTTATATCTATATCCAAAATTTCTGATAACAATTTTGGATCAGAAAAAGCTTAGTGTGCAGTACTGCCAGATGAACCAGTGACATCTAGATGGGGTTTGTCTACGTGTAAATTTAATTTTTCCCGAAATCTTTTTTGTAAAAGACTTTTTTGAGCTTTTACAAAATTTTTATCTATTTTTCATTTTGGCTGTCATTGTCTAATATCCAATTTATACAACAAATGAAAGAGATATTCTATGAAATGTATCCAAAATAAACTTATCCCAAAGAGTAAAAATGCTTTCTCAGTGTTAAATAATTTATTTGTTTAGTTTTCAATGTGACTCATATTAATAAGTGTTGCTTAACAAAGCGGACACTATTGTTTAAACGGTATTTCAGTGATTTCCGCTAAAACCTTTTTATCGATGGCTATTAAAAAATAAAAAGCTTTAGATATTAGCATCTTTTCCATTTGATAGCTACCCTATAATATGAGGAATTAATATGAGGAGTTATTTTGAGTATATACTTTGTATCGTATGCAAACTGAGGCCTAGAAATCAGTCCTGGAATTTTACATTTGTTCTCGCATCAAAGTATAGAAACGGGTTAAAAATTGATAAAACCCGAGAAAATATTTGGATTTTCTTTTCTTGCGTTCACTCATTTTGAAATTTTTGACTGACCTGATTTAGGCCGGCCCAAATTCATACTGGCCCACCGGGAATTCTCCCGGTGCTCCCTGGGGCCATTTCGCTACTGAATTGTATTCAGTTTTTTCAGACAGATTTAAAATTGCCATTATTTTAGCTCGTTTTCCTTTGTCTTTAAAAAGCGATGTACGCCGCCTTCTCTTTAAATCTGTCGTTTCTGATACGTTTGAGAGTTTCCAGATAAGTTCTTTAATCCAAAACTAAATTTATTTTCTAACCAGGAAATTTATATTTGAAGTATTGAACATCCTTCATTTTTTGCTTGTACGTGGTTTGTAATGTTAATAATTTTTTTTATTCTATTATTTCCTAGTCTAAAAATCTTTCTCTGCATTTTTACAGCATGATATGTAATTTTATAAATATTTTACATTAAACTCTGAGAGCCTGTTTATTATTCTTCCGATAGATTTATAATATATAGAAGTTCACAAGCGCGGTTTAAGAAATAAAATAAAAGTTCAAAGTTATAGCATTTTCACTAAAAAATTGTTCTTTAAAAAATGACAATTATAAATTGTTCAGCTAAAAATGCTTTTAACCTGCCAAATCCTGTACATTTGGCACATCTTTGAATCAGTTCATTGTTTACCATTAGGTCTCACGCTTATACATCTTTTTAGCTGCAAATTAAAAAACTTTGAAATTCTAATTTATTTGGTAATGTGGTTTAGCCTTCTCTAGCTTAATGCTTTAAGAGGCTATATACCGGTTATAACGCTTCGACGGACCAAGAGTAAGTGAGTTTAAGAAGAACGATGAATATTAGAATGAAAGACAGAAGAAACCGAGTTATAAAGAAAGCATAAAGAACGATAGCGGACAGATATTGCACTGGATGTTAGAGTTATAAAGATGGCATAAAGAATAATAGCGGACAGATATTGCACTGGACCTTTAAGTGTGCAAAGTTAATCAGTTACAACTAATTAATACATTTTTGAAATTCTAATTTAGTTTTAAGAACATTTAATTTTAAAATAAATATAAAGTTTTAACCTTAATATAACCTTTCTTGATATAATTAAACGTAACGGTTGCATTTTTTTTTTTTAATCAAATTTTAAACCTATGCTACTATTAATCAGTTCGCAATTTAACTTGAATTAAAAAAAAAAAGCTACTAAATGTAATTCGCGGGTTTCAAAGATTTTAGGCGGACTTTTCTGAAAAATTTCTAAAAAGTTAAATAAAGCCAATTTAAAAACATTAATTGAACCAAGGAGGTATAGTAGCTTAGCTATTTTAAAATAGCTAAATAGAGTTAAACTTGCTACGCTATTTTAACCACTTGCTTTAACTTATAACGAACTAGAAGATAAACAAAATTAGTTCATGAAGTATAACAAAATTAGTTCATGAAAATATAAACATATACATTTACAAAAGTTTTTTTTAAGTTTTTTTTCCGCTTAGTCATAGTTTTCATTATCAAAAAAATATATTGGAAATATTTGATAGGAAATATTTGGTAATTTTTTTTTACGAGCCTTGAGACTATTATTCACTAATATAATTTTTAATATCTTATCTTAGTTTTTTTTTTATTATATTTCTATTATTTCAAATAAAATTCGTTTCTTAAACATAATTTTAAAAAATTATATTATCATTTTATTTTTAAAGTTAGCAGCACTTTTTTTGTCGGGATTATCTTTCTAAGAAATCGGCATTAGCGTGTACGAAGAGATCAGATAAATTACTATAAAAATTACTGATGCATATAAAGATTACCAATCCGCTACTTTCAACGATTAGTTAATAAAAATACAAAAAAACTAAAACAAAAATAGTAACTTTTTATGTAATATATATTTAAAATTAGTTCCAAACCAATTTACCAAGAAAGGTTGAACTTTGAAGATGATGTAGAAAGTAATCAAAGCCTTTTGCCGCAAAATGAATTAAATGATCAACCGAAACAATCAAATGGTGAGAAATTTGATTGTGAAATTGAAAAAAAGTTTCGTAAAACGGAGAAACTTATCGAGTTTGCGCTTAGGATAGCATTATTAAAAAGATTAAGAGATAACGTGCAAAAAAACTCGAAACTTAATACTGCATTTGATAAGAACAGAAAAAATGACGAAGAGGTTAAAAATGCAGAAATAAAAAAACTATGGTTGACCTTTTTAGACAACTTTACGCTCAATGGATTTCGCCATGTGTTTGAGAAAGGTATCATAAGAAGGATTATATGGCTTCTTATCCTGTGCATTGCACTTTTTGCAGTTGTTTTTTCAGCTCGCAAGAGTATTATAAAGTACTTCAATCGCCCGATTACTACCACAGTAAACATGATTTATCAAGATGAAATTGTTTTTCCGGCTGTAACCTTATGCAATTTTAATTTTTTTCCACATTATTTAATCAACGGAACAATCGGAGAAAAAGTACGCAGTATACTATTTTAATATCATTCTTTGATACTATTTGGAAAAATGTCGTTTTGGGTTAAACATTTGTTCTGCAACTAATTAATTTAACTTTTATTCTGTAAAATGTGGAAACTTTCATTTTGCTAAACGTGGTTAACCTTTGATTCGGTAAAGTGTGAATATCGGTTTAATATTAGGGGACTTTCATAACTTATGTCATAAAATTTTAGAGATAACGGGTGTGGGAAATTAAAGTTAACAACCTTTAGAATTAACCTCTTTGATAACTTGATATAACCCCATTTGATGATTTTATATTTAAAATATATAAACTTACTTTAGCATTACAAAATGTTTAAAGGTATACAAATTTAATTCAATATACATTTGTTTCAAATATTCAGGACTTTTGTGAGAGTAGTTAAGTTATTTTTGTGGAGTTTTCCAAGTGAACCCCAAAAAATTAACCATTGAGTTGCAAAGTTATTGACTGATTTGGAGAGAAACTTGGATAAATGCCTTAAAATCGTTTACAATGATATGATTTAAGGACGTCCCCTTTTGATATTCGCTAATAAAAATTAAATTAGTTATAATGGACTTTAATTTATATTAATGATCTTAAGGTAAGTTAATTATGTACAATAAAAGTAAACAATCTGATTAACTTCTTTTTTAGGTAATTTCAATTCTCGCTCCTCTCGAGAGTTTTAATCAAACACATCAAGAATTAGTCAGTCAACAAGGACCTTATATTGCAAATATAAGAGACTATAGATCTGTTTTACCAAAAAATAAATGGAAACGGAAAAAAATTGCTAACAAAGACGAAAAAAGTAAACAAGAAGAAATTTATTTTGATCGTAACTTTGATTTTTCTGAGTTTGTCAAAAAACATGGTCATAAAATTGGACACATGATTAAAAAGTGCCACTGGAAAGCACAAAAGTGCGGACCGGAAAACTTTACCTCTGTTCTCACAGATTTTGGGCTATGTTACACATTTAACCCTGGTACTCCTGAACATCCATTATTAAAAGTTCACCGAGCTGGAGTGGATTTTGGACTTCGACTGCAACTAAATGTTCAACAGGATCAATACTATGGAATTTTAAGAGACTCATCTGGTTTTAAAGTAATGATTCACGATCAAAATGAGCCACCTCTTATCAACGAGCTTGGTTTTGCTATTCACCCTGGAATGCATACATTCTGCAGTATAAGAAAAACAAAAGTAATAATTTTTCAGAATTAACATATATGAGCCATATCATATGAGCCTGTGTGTATGTAAGTGTGTATGCGTGTGCGTGTATGTGCGTACGTGTACGTGCGTGCGTGTGACAAATATATATCAAATGTATATGCTTCTATGGCGGAAGCAATATATATAAATTAGTTATATATATATATATATATTGGTTCCACCATTAAACTAAACAAAGTTTTTTATTCTGCCAAGGTTCTTAATTTACCTCTACCGTGGGAGACTGCATGCGAAGATAAAAAACCCGACGGAAGCAAGAAGTATACAAAATCAGCTTGCTTAATGAAATGTCGAGCCGAATTTATTATTAGCATTTGCAAATGTCGTTCGTTTCAACACGCAGGACAAGCCCCTGTTTGTTTGCCACATGAAATCAGAGATTGCGTCAGACCTGCAATCGGTAAAAAAAATATTTTGTATTATTATTATAGCACACTTAATTACACCTTATAATTTAATCTTTATTGTTAGAAATGCTAAATATTTTCAGCAACTTTTATGAATGAATCCGATCATTGCGAATGCCCAGTTCCGTGCGAAAAAATCCGGTATCAAACACAACTTTCATATGCTCAAATGCCAGCTAAACATTACAGTGAAGCACTTGCAAAACTTAAACACATTGATGAAGAGAGAATGAGACATTTTTTGAGGTATGCTTTATAACTGTTAGGTTTGGCGAAGTAGTTTTTTCTCGTGTGTGTCATGTTCGTATTTAAAAACGTATTTCTGTTATTTATAACTATATGCAATATTCTGCAATAATAATAATAATAAAAGGTATTAAACTTGTTTTGTTTTTTCAGAGATAATTTGTTAGAGTTAGATTTATATTTTGAAGAAATGACAACACAGGTTATACAACAAGTACCCGCTTATGACGAAGAAAGTTTATTTGGTAAAACATTTTTTTTTTTTTTAATTAAAAACTTTATATTAAAAAATAGTTGACAAAAACATTTTTTTAAAGGTGATATTGGCGGTCAAGTGGGGCTGTTCCTAGGAGCCAGTATGTTGACAATATTAGAAATAGTAGATCTGCTTGGTCGCGTTCTCATAATAAAATTTGGTAGCCGACGTATTAAAGATCATCTTGTCTAATTATTAGGTAATCATTAGGTCATTAGGTAATCATAAGGTCATTAGGGCTTTTAGTTTTTTTGTATCTAATTTCAATGGAAATAATGTTTTCAGGCAGAACTCTAATCGAGTAATAATATAATGACCATTACAAAATAAATTTAAAAAGTGCATTTGCTGTATTCAAAAATCAATATATTCAAGCAAAGGTTACTTGCTTGCTACGTTATGTTACGTTACTTGCTACCCATGTACTTCACTTGCTACCCATGTACTTCAATAGCTACCTTTTATACGATTAACTATGTAACTAATTAAAAATAGTTTGTAAATATAATTTTAGTAGAAATAAAATTTTTTAGTCGTTATTTTTAGCTTATTTTTATATTTTAGGTTGTTGTTTAGTTTGTTTTTTTTTATTTGCGGCGTTTGAAGTGCCATCAAGGTAATTGTTGTTTGTTTGTTTTTACGTTATGCGAATTGGCTAGCAACCAAAAATTTAAGAAGAAGAATATAGAATAATTGTTTAGAATAATAGAACTGAATAGAATAATAGATTCGGCCTATATAAATATTACACACACCTACTCCGTTAAAATTAAAGCAGTCCCAAATGCCAGAATACCTGCCGTTACCTTGCAACCTCGATATAACAAAGCGCCCTGCATGACGTTAGATACCGTCTGTTGTTTTAACAGTCTATAGAGTATCTGACACAATTCACTAAAATTTTTAATTTTCACTATTAATGCTTTTTGAGGCCTTCATACCTATTCTTTGCCACTTTTTTGTTTTGCTTACTGCTTTTTGACCCATTTTATGTAACTTAACTTTTTGGTTTTCTCAAATATTTAAAAAGGTTTTAAATGTGACTAAACTGGTCATCATAAGTAAATTTACCCACCTTTTATAGCAAACTTTCAAACTAAAACATAAATTAATAAAATATTACAGATCTCCATACTATTATGGTTTTCAAAATTATTAAAACAAATTATGCATAAAAAATTGTAATACTTTTTAGGTGCAAAAAATATCCTTTATAATAAGCAGTTTTGGTTTAAAAAAAGGCGCTCTACTGATCAGGCAATTGTTCATCTTGTTCATTTTATCTTCAAAACATTAGATGAAAATTAATATACATTAGGTGTATTTATTGATCTTAGTTAGGTTTTTGACAGTGTTGATTATTAAATTATATTAACGAAATTAGAAGACAATTGTATTAAACATAAATATTGCGTGGTTTAAGAGCTATTTGTCAAATAATATAGCAATACATTTGTTATAATGAAGGTAAAACTTTCGAAATTTTGTATTGCCAATCAAGACATAAAAAGAAAAATCAAATTAAAATTTCTCGGTGTTTCTTTTGACAAAAATGTGACGTGGAGAGATCACATACCTTATCTCAAAAATATAATCTCAAAGAATATCGGTCTACTTTGTATGTTAGGACCTTTTCTTCCAATTTACTTAAAACTTTTATATTTCTTATTCATCCATTACGCAAATATTATTTGGTGCAGTACAAATAAAAATAAAATAAAAAAACTATTTAATAAACAAAGGTATGCAATCATAATCATTTCCAATGTGGGTCGTTTTACACATTCTCAAGCATTATTTGTTAATTCAAATATAATGAATGTCTACCAAACAAATATCTATCATCTTTTTGTATTTATGTTCAAAATAAATAAAAGTCTCCTTAAATATTTTATCAGTTATTCAAAATAAATCAAAGCAGATATCTAACCAGATTCTCAAACAACAGTTACATTCAACCCAAAAGTTATTTTGCGGCGACTGAGTTTTCGATTTCTAGTAGAGGACCAAAATTATACAATAAAATATCAACTAATGAACTTAAAGCAATTGCAACACTTAATAAGTTTAAGACCAAATTAGGGCAAAAACCTTTGATGAACTACGTAACGCTCAGCTTTTACTGAAGTATTAATGGTTGCTACTGACAACGATTGATTTTTCATTAACAGTATCGTGATCTTCGAAAAGATCAAGTCACTTGCTTCAGTTCTTCTTTTTTTTTAAATTTAAAAAAGTTCTCCAGATATTTCAAGGTATATGATGATTTAAAAGAAAAGTTTCATGATTATGAGTATTTGTTTGCATGCTTTTTAATACTATAGTTTTTAATAAACTAAATATTTTATCTTTGTATTTAAAATTTTTCTTAAGCAATATAAAAACAAAAAGTTAGTGTAGGACATTAGGACCATTGATTATTATTTATAAAGTCCTCTAAAAACGTTTTTTATTATATACTGTTAGGTTTTTTAATAATAATAATTTTTATTTTATATTTACGGTATGGATTAAAGGGCTTTGTGACAAATTATGTTTTCTTCTTACCATTACTATTTGTATTTATATTATGTTTTGCGGTTTAAATAAATTTGTACGGATAAAAATATATGTATGTATATATATATATATATATATATATATATATATATATATATATATATATATATATATATATATATATATATATATATATACATACGTCACGGAAGTTTTTTAATAATTAAAGGAAGCATGCAGAAGCTTCCAGAAGTTTCCAGAAGAAGCATCTGGAAGCATCCAGGAGCATCCAAAAGTATCCAGAAACATTCAAAAGCATCCAGACGCATCTAGAAGCTTCCAGAAACATCAAAAAGAAGCATCTAGAATCTTCCATAACAGGTTCACGCAGGTTCATTTTACTATATAAGAGACATGTAAACCGACATGTAATTCAGTCAGTATATGGAAGTCAATCAGTCAGTATAATCAAGACATTTTATCGAAGTGAGTTTTATCAAAGCGTTTTATCGAAGAACATCAATACAAGAAGTGAAATACAACAAGTGTTTCATTACATCAATACAGTCCACATCCAACCAAGACGTTGTGTTCCACAGAGCATTATTGTATCATCACAAGGTAAATGTAACGAGGTAAGTCTTGAGAAGCGTGATCATATATTTTTATTATTTTTGTGACTTCAAATGCAAAAATGGCTCCCGACAGTCTTGGATTGGAACTAAGATAGAAAATTATTGGCGATTACGTAAGTGGAATGTCACAAAAAAGTATTTGTGATAAATATCGCGTGAAAAAATGGACCGTATCTCAAGAATATGTTGCACATATCGTTCTACGGGGAAGTTGGCAGCAGATAACAAAGGTGGAAGACTGCGTTCTACCACTTCTAGAGAGGATTCTATGATCGTCAGATTCGTCAAGAAGAATCCCTGGATATCATCAGTTGAGATACAATAGCAATTAGAGCTGCCTGTATCTGACCGAAAAATCAGACAACGTGCTGTTGAAGCCGGATTGTTTTCGCGACGCCTTGTAAAGAAACCGCTTATTTCACTAAAGAACCAGAAGAAAAGAATCCTGTTTGCTACATCTCATATTGACTGGAATGTGCAGAACTGGCGAACTGTCCTGTTCAGTGATGAATCGAAGTTCGACATCATTAGGAGCGATGGCATTTGCCGTGTACGTCGACCGGCCAGAAAACGCCTCGATTTACGTTACTGCCATAAGACCGTGAGTGGAGGCAATGTAATGGTCTTGGGGCGTTTTTCTGCTAACGGTCTAGGCCCAATACTTCGAATCGATGCAATAATGGACCCTTTCATGTATAAAAATATCCTGAAAGATGTTATGTTACCTCATGCTGAATAGAATATGCCAATAAAATGGGTTTTCAGCAAAACAACGATCCGAAACACACTGCAAAAGTAGTCAAGCAGTGGTTTCAAGACAACCACCTATTGGTGATGGGTTGGACGGCTCAATCTCCGGATCTCAACCCTATTGAGAACCTGTGAGGGATTGTCAACCGCAGAATTATTTGTGAAGGTGTTCGTAACAAGGCCTGGGCAGCAATTCCGCAAAGTTTCATTGATCACCTGATCGAACCTATGCCTCGAAGATGCAAGGCTGTGATCGACAACAAAGGATTCGCCTCGAAATATTGATAGCGAAATACAGCTTGGTCAACATTTTGTGGAATTGCACTTGTTTTATCCAGAAGGAAATCAAATTTTTTAATACTTTTGATTAATTTATTAATTTTCGTGTACAAATAATGAACTTTGTGATGAACAAAACTTGAAGAACGTTGTCTCTAAACAGTTACATATTTATTTCTCTAAATTGAAAAAATGCAGCACTTTTATATAAAGAAACTAAATTAGCATTATTTGGTTTTTTGCACTTGTTTTGTCCGATACTGTATATATATATATATATATATATATATATATATATATATATATATATATATATATATATATATATATATATATATATATATATATATATATATATATATATATATATATATATATATGTATATATATATATATATATATATATATATATATATATATATATATATATATATATATGTATGTATATTTATATATAAATCCGATTTTAAATGGATTTTTTAAACTAAAATTCAATTATGTGTGTCACAGAATGTATGAACATTTTTTTCATTAACTTAGTCATAGTGTTACCATCATTTTGATATAATCTAATATTGTTCATGAAATCTCAATGCTATTCATGAAACTTTTTTTTTACTATCAAATTGTTTTTTTATCATATACTTTTATTTACAAATATATTTCATAGTATACATACGCACAACGGTTTTATTTACAAATATATTTCATAGTACACATGCGCACAACGGTTTTATTTACAAATATATTTCATAGTATACATGCGCACAACGGTTTTATTTACAAATATATTTCATAGTATACATGTGCACAACGGTTTTATTTACAAATATATTTCATAGTATACATGCGCACAACGGTTTTATTTACAAATATATTTCATAGTATACATGTGCACAACGGTTTTATTTACAAATATATTTCATAGTACACATGCGCACAACGGTTTTTCTAAATAAAGTACTCTTATTTGTGCTTCTTTACTTGAATATTTTTACTTTTTACATAAATATTGTTCTTAAAATTTTTCTTTAAATAACCAACCCAAACTGTTAAGTATTTTACTTATATATTTTTCAATAAATTGGTTGTAAAGTATATAATACGATATTGTAAGTATATAATACGATTCTTGTAAATACGCGCTTTTTTTTTTTTTTAATTCTTTTTTATTAGAATATTACTCTTTATAAGATTTTTCTTGAAATTTTTCTTTAATTGTTTTTTTACTTTCATATTTTTCAATAAAAAAATTGCTGAAGTATACATAAATATTATGAATTTTGTAAATACGTACGAATGGGGTTTGGTGATAAGATCTAATTAAAACACTGGTGTGGAGAGGTGAGAGATCTAATTAAAAGAGGGAGAGATCTAATTAAAAGAGAGGGAGAGATCTAATTAAAACACTGGTGTGGTGCAAGAGGAAGGTCTTAAGACCTTCCTCTTGCCACACCAATGTTTTAATTAGTATACTTTTAAATTGTAAATATTTTCAACAATTAAATATTTATTAAACAGCGAAATAAATTGTACATTAAAAAAAAAGTACAGTAAAACATTAAAATACATTAAAAAAAGTAAATAAAACAATATATAATAACAATATATAACAACAATAAAAATTATAATATATAAATAACAATAACAATACATTAAAAAAAAAAAGTAGATTAAAAAAAAAAAAAATGTTCAGCAAAAAAAAAACAAATGTACATAAAAAAAAAAAAAATGTACATTAAAAAAAAAGAAGTTAATGGATGGTAAAGGTGTAACTTTTTTAAGGATATTTTTTTTTGCGACGCGTGATTATTTTGTATTACTTTAGAGTAGATAAACTTTTTTAATTTTTTTTTAAATTGAAGACAGAAAACGTATAATAAATCGAGACGACTGAATAAGCGCGAATTTTATAAGTGCGAACTGGCATAAGCGTGAATTGGCATATGTGCGAACTGGCATAAGTGCGAAGCGTTGCAAAAACTGGCATAAGTGCGAACTGGCAAAACAGCGAATTGGCATAAGTGCGCCATAACATTGGCATAAGTGCGAATTGGCATAAGTGCAAAGTGGCATAAGTGCGAAGCAGTTGGCACAAATGCGAACTGGCATAAGTGTGAATTGGCATTAGTGCGCCGAACAAATTTGCAAACATTGGCATAGATGCGAATTGGCATAAGTGCGAACTGTTATAAGTACGAAGCAGTTACAAAAACTGGCATAAGTGCGAACTACCATAACTGTGAATTGGCATAAGTGCGCCAAATAAATTTGCAAACATTGGCATTAGTGCGAACTGACATAAGTGGGAATTTGCATAAGTGCGAAAAACTAATTTGCACTTATGCCAATATTTGAAATTTTATTCGGCGCACTTATGCCAATTCGCACTTATGCCAGTTTGCACTTATGCCAGTTTTTGTAACTGATTTGCACTTATACCAGTTCGCACATATGCTGATTCGCACTTATGCCAATATTTGCAAATTTGTTAGGCGCACTTATACCAATTCGCACTTATGCCAGTTTGCACTTGTGCCAGTTTTTGCAACTGCTTCGCACTTATGCTAGTTCGCACTTATACCAGTTCGCATTTATGTCAATGTTTGCAAAATGTTTTGGCGCACTTATGCCAATTCGCATTTATGTCAATGTTTGCAAAATGTTTTGGCGCACTTATGTCATAAGCCAGTTTGTACTTATGCCAGTTTTTGCAACACTTTGCACTTATACCAGTTCGCACATATGCCAGTTCGTGCTTATGCAGCCTCCCAAATAAATCATATTGCCCCGGTCACGTGACCAAATGAAAATTATGAATTTTATATTTTAATTTTTATTACAAATTTTTCTACTTACAAGCTGAAAATTCATGCAGGCAATATAATCATTATGGTAATACAAACATACTGACAAATTATTATTGCTTCATGACTGATAGTTTTGCAATAACTCAAAACAATCGATATCTCACCCAATCTCCCCTTAGATATAAAAAACATCAGATTTTAAAAAAATGTACTGAATACATTTAATATTAAAAATAGTTTCCATAAAAAATATAAATTACATGTTATAATGTACAAACTGCGAATTAACCATAAAAGTTTTACAATCCATTTATGTAAAGTTATCAAATCAAGTTTATGCGCGTCTTTTGTCGACACATGAGCAACAGCATGGAAAAAGCTTTGACAAAAAACCTACAAGCTCTTAATAAAAACTGTAACTTAAAACAGGTGTCAGCAATTAAATATTGAAATAAGTGTATTAGAGATTTTATAACAGGGATAAATTTATAAAATGTCAGACAGCAACTACTATAAAACAGAACGAAATGTTTTGAAAAGCTAAAACCTTAGAGTTTTCACAGAAAATGCATAAAATTATTATTACTAACATAATACAGTAGATTTTACAGTAGCTGCAGTAACCAAAAGGTCAAAGCATTTAAGCCCAAATTCTGCTTCCCCATGCATACCCAAAAATATGCTGAAACTGTGGAAATCGATAAACGCCAAAGTAGTCTGTTGTTTTATTTTTATTTTGGTTGGTTTATTACAAATGTGAAAAAGTCACTCAACTAAGCTATGTAATTCTCTGTATTATCTGCCGAAGCAAAAATTTGGGGTGTGCAGTAAATTTTTTAAAACAATATGAGCTAAAATTGAAACAAATTGATGAAAATTTTTGCCTTGAAACCGCTGAAAAGTTTTGACTTTTTTTTTAAAGTATTATGGTGAAAAAATATAAAAATAATCTAGGAACATAGGGTAAAAAAATGATTGGTTATTTTGACAAATAGGGTAAAAAAATGATTTGTTATCTTGACACGAAATTACTATACATTACATTAGTTACTTGTTTAAAGTATGTGTTTTTAAAGTAAAATAAAATAAAGCAAAAATGTTTAGTAAAAAAAGCATAGGAAAAGTTTTATTTTATATGCTTAAATATATTTTTTCACGACTTAATTTAAGCGCTTAAAACATATTTTAGAGCATATTTTTGGTTGCCCTACACATAAAATATGCGTTATTGTAATTTATTTAAGGTACAACATGTGTAAAAATTAAAAAATATGTTTTTTTAAAAATATATATGTACACATTTAAATCGTTAATACATTGTTTACAATCTTTTAGAACAAAGAATATAGTAAAAAATAGCTTTTTTGTTGCAGTTACTCGATTTAGTTTCATTGGTTTCCCATCCCATTTACTCGTCATGTCATTTAAAAAAATAAAAAACGTGTTCGACAAAGAGCTGTTTATTAATTATGTCACGCTAAAAATATAACTTTTAATTTATATCATGCTAAAATGTAACTTTTAAATAGAAGTGGTCTTATCTTATCTCTTATCTTATCCACCAAGATAGATACCTATCTTGCTCAGATTATAAACTTTTTATGGATTATAAAACGTTATAATCTTTTAAAACCCTGGGCGTTACTACTTCTTTTTATTTTTTAAACGTAACGTGATATAACTTATAAACAACCACTAACAAACTTCCATCTTAATCAAACGGCATGGGGAGTAGAGTAGTTTCTAGTTTCTTAGAAGAATGGGATTGAGTAACTAATGCAACTACAAATTATACACAAACAAAACTTATAAATAAAGAATTTTTAAAAAACTTCAGCAAAACCAAAAGAAATCAAAATTCGCAAAAATGAAGAAAATATTTTTACTCGCTTTTATACCATTAAACAAAAGTAAAAATCAATTCGAATAAAAATAATTTTGTAAGATTGTTAAATATTTACAATAATCTAAGATATATTTATACTTATCGATATACAATAGATTCAATAGTTAACAATTCAAAAGAGTGAACAACATCTACAAATACGCCGTTGTCTATCTCCAGTAGTAACAGGGGGCGTTATTGGAGCAAAATAAGCTTGAACATGAATATTAGGCAAACGACTCTAAAAAATTTTTGAAATGTTCTAATTTATTTTTCTTAACCCTGAATTATAGGGTACAGGGAATATAATTTACAAATCATTGAAGTTATAGAGTTTTGATGTTAGTAATCAACACTTTTCAAAGCTTATATACTTATGGTCTATAAATGTTGTTGACAATATATAATATTAAGATCTACAAATGTTTTATGAAAGAATATAATATTTTGATCGCAAACAGTTTAGACCATTAATTAGAAGAAAAAAAGAATGCATACTAACTGATAATATTATAAATCTATAAATAACGCTTACTTTTAAAATTCTTATCCCAGCTTTTGTTATGTTATTACAGTCATAAAGCTCAATTCTCTTCAGCATTTGACAATTCCTAAAGAAAAAATATAAAATATGTCAGTGTCAAACATTTAGATAATAAGTATATCAAGCAAATAAGGTTTACTTTAAAAAAGCAGATTATTGTATGGTTGGTATGTGTAGTTGGTATGTGTGGTTGGTATGTGTGGTTGGTATGTGTGGTTTGTATATGTGGTTGGTATGTGTTGTTGATATGTATTGTTGGTATGTTCGGTTAGAAACAATTGGATTTAGCTAACATTGTTTATATAAAATACTCAATTAAAAAGACTATTACAAAGTTTATGTAATATACTACAGAATAAATCCTATAATTAGTGTATCTAATATTGTGATATCACTACATTCCATGCAACCATAAGCAAAATAACCACAAAGCTTTTTTTTTTTTTTTTAGCATCAACTAAGTTTTTTGTATTTTTTATTATTTTTTTTGCCCTTAATTTACTTTTTAATTTTAGGCTGGATTCCACCATTTTTTCCAAGCCAAGATGACCAAATACATTGGTTTTCAATAATAATACCATCAATAAAATAAAAAAGTGGCGGCAACTGGAAAAATCTTATTGTGTGTTAATTGGAACTGCACTTTTTTTAAAGTTCAATTGAGAATTCAGATGAATAACAAATAAAAAATAATTTATTTAACAAAAAAATATGAAATTTAAATTTAAATGATATCATTAAAAATGATATTTTTAATGATATCATTTAAATTTAAAAACGATGACATTTTTATTGACAAAAATGACAGTTTTAATGACAAAAAATGTCATTAAAAATGATCGCAAAGTCAAATTTTAACTTGGACATCTTTCATATTTAAAACATAACATGCGCACAATCACCTCCCATTATTGTACTTTTTGTGGCAGTAACAATACTTTCTAAATTGCATTCATTGATGTTCTTAACATAATCAGCTTTTTTTGTTTGTTTGTTTTCATTACTGCTCATTGTAGAAGGTTCTTGTGCAGTTTTTTTTAATTAAAAAAAATAGGCTTGAGTCATCTAATCTTCATTTGAAACCTAAAGTTTGTGCCACAGTCACCCAGTCTTCTCTCAGCAACTTCACTTTCACCCAATCTTCTCTCAGCACATTCAACAACTCTTTTGTCATTTAATGAAGATAAAACATGTTTCAACTTGTTCAACTGTATAAATTTCATGCCAACAAATCAGATAAGTTAGATCTGGTTAATCCAGAAGATGATGTAAACAAATTTGGTGAAATGAATGTTGAAACAGGTTTAATTTAATAACAGACTTTTGGATTACAGTGTATTGATATACAACACAACAACCTTTGAATTTCATTATTATTACTGGTGCATAAAAATGCTAAATTTGATACTATTAATTTGTTTAAATTTATGTAAAAAAAGACAGTTTATAATAACCAATAACCTTACATTGTGCATTTGCAATAACAATTTATGTATTCTCAATTACATTTTTTTCTGAATTATTTGTTGTATTTCTCAATTACATATTACAATTTCTAAATATGCGGTAGTGGTGTAGTGGTAGAGCGCTCGCTTCATAAACGAGTGGTTCCGAGTTCGATCCCCACCACGTCCCTGGTAGTACTGCACTCAACTCGTTTCTCCGCGCAGCGGCCTTGTTTGTCAAGGTTCGTGTTTCGGAGTTATAGAGTTGAGAGAGGGTTGTAGCCACAAATAAGTAGCCTCCTCGTCTGTAGTGGCCGTCTCGACCTTGAGGAGGTGAATTAAAATAAAAAAAAAAAAAAAAAAATCACAGACTTTTTTTCAAAATTACATTTCTTAATAACATGCTGCATTTCTTAATTACAATATCTAAACTTTTGTGCTTCTCAATTACATATTCCAATTTCTTAAATACAATTATGTTACAAATTACAGCTTGATAAGAGGTAAGCTTATCCTTGAACCTGCAGATAGGTATCAATATACAAACTTTGTTCAACATTTTAATAATGTAAAATTGTAAACAGAATAAAACATTTCCTTTTGAACAAAAAAAAAAAAAAGCAACTTTTAGTGTTTAAGTTTTTAGTTTGAGCCACACATGGAGCGTTTAAATAATTAATAAATTAAGGTTTTAAGTAAAATTGCAAAATTACAAACATTATTATTAAAGGGATATTATTAAAATACAAAATTAAAATTAATGAAACTTGTGAAACTTGAATTATTGAAAAATCATTCACACTTACATCAAATGTTGCAAAGATGCATCTGTAATCAATGGGCAATTATCTAATTCAATAATTTTCAAATGTTCTATAGCACATGGACCACCACTAATATAACGAATTCCTTCATCTGTTATTTGTTCGCAATAAGATAATGTCTAAACACAATTTTTAAAAAAATGTTTTTTTTTGCAAGTACCAGAAACAAAAGATTTATATATATATATATATATATATATATATATATATATATATATATATATATATATATATATATATATATATATATACTCTTGCATGTCTCTTGCATAGCATCAAAAAAAGTTTCCCATAAACTGTAGTTTTAAAGAGCGCGTTAATAAACCAGACCAGAAAAAGTTTTGAAAATTAAATTTTTTTTTTAATTGATAGACTGCCTGGCCTAACCAAACCCTCAGTCGATGTAGCAGCACTCTCTTGCGAGTCAGGCTATTTGTCAGTCGTTGTAGCAGCACTCCCTTGCGAGTCAGGCTATTTGTCAGTCGATGTAGCAGCATTCCCTTGCGAGTCAGGCTATTTGTCAGTCGATGTAGCAGCACTCCGTTGCGAGTCAGGCTATTTGTCAGTCGATGTAGCAGCACTCCGTTGCGAGTCAGGCTATTTGTCAGTCGATGTAGCAGCACTCCGTTGCGAGTCAGGCTATAAGATAGTCGATGTAACAACATTTACACATGTTTTAAAAATGTTTTTTATTAAATCAATAACAAAAACACCACTAATTAAAAAAAACTTTCTAGTCGTTATAATTGCGGTTTTTTAAAAATTTTTTAAAAAACAATTAAATTTAATGTACTTCCGCATAAATTAATTGCTTTGACATTTCGATGACAATCAAAAACAGCTTAAGAGACGAGGTAATTAAAATTGTAGTCGTAAGAGACTTTTTTTACATTAAAACGCTCTTTCGACTACACTATATGGGTATATATATATATATATATATATATATATATATATATATATATATATATATATATATATATATATATATATATATATATACATATATATATATATATATATATATATATATATATACATATATATATATATATATATATATATATATATATATATATATATATATATATATATATATATATATATATAATTATAACATAAAATATAATTTAATTAGTATTTTTAATATAAAATATAATAAGAAACTAAATAAAAATATGATTCAAAAACAAAAAAATCTTACTAATGTTTCAATATGAGGACAGTTTAATGACAATGAGTGAAGGGTGTGGTCACTTATCTAAATAATAATTAAAAAAAAAAATTAAATTATTTAAAATAAATTTTAATTACAGGTAACAAGTATAATAATATTGTTTATAATGATATATGTGATATGAGCTGCGGTTAAGTCCAAAACACAAAAATTGAAAAAATTAATGTTTTTTGATACATTAGTTTTTAAAATTCTTGGTTTATTAATTTACTTAAAAAAGTGTATAAAGTCATTTTTTGAGGTGTAAACTCTGCAAAAAAAAACAAGATATGTACAGGATGTGTAAATAAAAACATAAATATTTATTGAAATAATGACAGCATCTTAAAAATTCTAGGACTTATATCTTTTGGCAGCTGAAAATAATAATGAAATTTATGTAAAATTAATAAAATAACATTTATTGTCATAGGTTTTATGTTTATTCATCATAACAAACATCATCTTCTTCCAAGTTATTTGAATGTAAATCTTGATTTCAACCAGTTGTCCTTAATGTCCTGTAAAAGTCGTGTTTAATTGGAGGTATATACTTTAATAAACACATGATGTATTTTTTTGTTTCTCTTGTTCTGCCGTATAATATAGGATATAATATAGGTTGAGTTACATTTTTTAAATTTACTAGCTTACCTATTTTTGTTTTTTTTTTATATCAATTACATGAAAGGTGTCATCCTCGTCAAAATTATATTTGAACTTAATGCTGCTTGGGTTTATCCTTTCCAATTTTATCCATCTCATATTAAGCCAATTGACTGTTAGTCCACTTGTTGATTTTTTTCTGTTGGTTACAGCTTCTTCCAGTGGTTTTGTGAAAAGAAATTCTTGTGGATTCATTTTGACAACTCTGAAAGGGTTCTTTCTTTTACTATTTTGTATTATATGATGATCCAGTCACTAGGGTTATAAATATGCAGAATTTTTTTTTGCATTAGCTTCTAAAACTGCAAAATCAGCAACAAATAACTGTGCCCACTTAATAAAAATTTAAGCTCAATTGATTCAGCTTTTATATCTTCACTATGAACCAATTTCAGTAAACTTAACACAGTTTTTATATTTCGATTATGTCCTGAGCATGAATCTGAATACATTATAATTTTTTGAAAATAGTTTGCGTACAATTTAATGTGTTTAGTTAAACATGATGACACTTCTTGTGAACCCCGCAATGCTTGCGTCATAGGCCAAACATAAATGAAATCTCTCGTTAGTCTTTAAATCATGGCAACCAAAATTGTATAAATATTTTTTAGTTTCTTTTGTAATAAGTCACTGATGTGAATAGTTTCGGAAATGGTAATCCTTTTTCTAAATCAAAACTAAACACGTATATTTTGTCTGAAGCTCTTAATTGATCATTAGCCATACTATTACAGACAATTTCTGCATTTTGCAAGTGTTCGTCATGTTCAACTTCAGCTGCATTCTTTTTTTTATCTATTGTCTATAGTAGATTGTTTTTATTACCAAATAATCACATTTAGCACAAGTATCTTTTGAAGGTTGCTTTAAATGTAAGTTAACTTTTGTCGAAAATATATGGTAATAAAACTTTTCCTTTACTGGTACAATTACATTGTTCGACATACAGGTTATGCATTTTTGTGATAAAAAGGTCTGAATTTAAGTGTCTGCATCTGGGATTATGAACAATTGTATAATGGCCTGAAATAGCAGGAAAGGAACTTATATGTTTTCCTACATGAGAATCTTTATTTTGTTGCCTGGAATATGCTGCCCTCAGTGGTCCTTCAGATCTTCCTTTAAACAGCAATTATACAGTCGCCTGTTACTTATTTGATATGTTTCAATTAAATATTTTTTGAAAACATCAACATCTTGGCCGTTAAGTCTAATAAAATATTCAAAAGACTGAGATTTTGGTCCTTTGGTGTTACTTCTGGGTCGTTGTCTTTTGATAACATGAACTCTAATTAACCCACTTAAAAAAATATTTTGTTTATGATGATCATTAAGCTTGTAAAAAATTTTCATCACCTGTTTTCTTTGATAAAAAGGTTATCTTGCGATTAGTCGTAAGCAGTTAAAAGGCTTATTATCAAATTTCTTTGCAGGAATTATTCTTTTATTTCTATTTTGGTATTGCTGACCTTGTATCCTTTTTTGTTTCTTAACATTTCTAGACCATTTCCCAGGATTCCTGCTGCATTTTCTACCAACTTTTCTGTTATTTTAATTATTTTCTATATCTTCGTTATCTGATGATGTATCAGAATCAATACGGTTAACTTTCCTTAAATTAGGATGAAATATCGTATCAGTTTCACTTTTATTGTGTTCTATTTCTATTGACACTTTTAGTTTTTACACCCTTACAATAAATCTTTTTTACTATTTTAAAAAGTCAGAGTTTTTACAGTTATTAAAGAAAATTTATTTAATGTTTTTGATAACACAATAATTTTTGCAAACACTTCAACGTAATATTTTTGTATTGTGACGCACATGTATAAAACTCAAACAATTGTAGTTAGAAGTAACGATTACAGTTTTTTTTTTTTTCACCTCCACAAGGCCGAGAAGGCCACTACAGACGAGGAGACTACTTAATAGTGGTTATAACCCTCTCTCAACTCTATAACTCTGAAACACAAACCTTGATGAACAAGGCCGCTGCGTGGAGAAACAAGTTGAGCGCAGTACTACCGAGGACGTGGTGGGGATCAAACTTGGAACCTCTCGTTTATGAAGCGAGTGTTTTACCACTACACAACTACCATATACAGTTACTATGAATTTCTTGTTTTTCAGTTTTACCAACAAATATCGAAAGAAGAAAAATAATTTAATTTTTATTTCAAAGTTTATGTAAAAAATATTGATAAAAAGTGGAGTTATTCACAATGGCTTTTGAAATTATTATACAATATATTCAAAAGCTATTAAAAAAATGGCTGTCTAACCTAGAAAAAATGGCTGTCTAACCTAGAAAAAATGGCTGTCTAACCTAGAAAAAATTAACCAACGAGTAAATCCTTTAATAACTAAGAAGTTTATTATTTATTTCATCAAAATTTCCAAAAATCAGAAAATATCAAAAAATGGACTTAACCGCATTGGCTTCTGAGTGGCTCATGTGTGTATTACTATTAAAATAAAGTATATATGTAAGTACCATAATTAGAATACAATATATATGTAAGTATGATTTTTTATATAAATATGATAAAATATATTTTTTTATATAAATATGATTTTTTTCAGTTTCTAAAGATTTGATTGATGAAAAAGTTATATTTTTATGTTAACTTTATTTTTATTTTTCTAACATCTTCACCTGTCTCTTATACATAAAAATGATAATGAAAAACAAGTTGATGACGTGTTGGTTGATGGAGTCGATTGTGATACTATTTGGTAATGAATAAAGGTAAGATATATCAGTGTTAAATTTCAAGGTATCTTACACTTGAGATAAGCACACTACTACTCCTAAAGCTGCTGTTGATACTTCATACAAATAATAATAACTATAACTGAAGATTTAGCATTCACAAGTATGTAATTAGAATTATAACTAAGTAATATAAGTAAGTAAAAATATAAGTAAGTAAAAGTAGCAACACTTTGGCAACATCACTTTGTTATGTGTGATGCAATCTCTTTTTTTTGTTGAATAAATTTACTTTAAAGAAGACTGCAAGCAACATTTAAGAATTCACAGCTAACAGCTAAAGTAAGGAATTCACAGCTTACAGCTAAAGTAAGGAATTCAAAGCTAACAGCTAAAGTAAGGAATTCACAGCTAAAAGCTAAAGTAAGGAATTCACAGCTAACAGCTAAAGTAAGGAATTCACAGCTAACAGCTAAAGTAAGGAATTCACAGCTAACAGCTAAAGTAAGGAATTCACAGCTAACAGCTAAAGTCAGGAATTCACAGCTAACAGCTAAAGTAAGGAATTCACAGCTAACAGCTAAAGCAAGGAATTCACAGCTAACAGCTAAAGCAAGGAATTCACAGCTAAGAAAACAATTAAAGAGCAACAAAGTGAAAAACAGAAGATTTGTATAAGTTATTTTCAGGAAAACATAAAGAGGAGAATTCCAAAGCAACAATGTTTAAAGAAGAAAACTAAATAAAAGTTTTTTGAGCATAAAACAAATGCAGTAAAAAGATGAAACTGCTGGATAAGCCACATGTTTTGTTTAATAAAACAAGTGATGATGTAACAGCAGCCATAAAAGTATATTAGAAAAGAGAAATAGATGCAAACTTTTGACAACTGGACGAGGCTCTATCTAGGCATATAGAGTAGGTCTAACAACATTTACAATACAATTTTGGATCTTGTCTAAATAAGGGAATTCTAAAAAAACCAGGAGTAATAATTGGTGAGCAAAAAAAAGAGGTAACTTTTACAGATAGTAAAATTTAGCAGGTAAAATTACAAAAGAGATGAATACAGGTGTATCAATATAGATCAACATAGGTGAGAAAAAACATAGAACCAAGGAGGGAACCTTGTGGTACCCCAGAAATTACTGGAAACAAATAGAAAGTATTGTCAAGGACAATTTTTATAAGTTGTCAAGGACAACCTTTTAATGATTTAAAAAACTTTCACAGAAAAAAAACAACCAAAAAATATAAACTATATACACTATATAAAAAAAAACAACCAAACATGTAGAACACTGTATAAAACAAGCATATGTAGAAGACTTAATCAAAACTTTATCATAAACCTTTATGTCAAGAGCAGTAGCCTTTGTGTCACTACTTCTATCAAATGTATGATAGAATCTTTCAGATAGTGGCTGTCCATAAATTAGGTAAGCAAAGAATTTAAAAATTTGACCCTTCCTTTACTCCCATGCTATATATATATATATATATATATATATATATATATATATATATATATATATATATATATATATATATATATATATATATATATACAATATATATATATATATATATATATATATATATATATATATATATATATATATAACCCTTTCCCCACCCCCTTTCTTCCTTAAAAGTATGTATGCTTTTGAAATACCATTTACCTCCATCTATATGAATTTAAAAACTTAAAATTTAGAAAAAAAAATTAAGACTTTTTTTTAAATTAAATTGTGCATAATTGCAGTTTGACTTTAAATAACTTATATACAAAAAGAACTTATATACAATATCAGAACCAGAATCATAACAGTATATTTTTATTTGTATTAGTATTTATTTATTTTATATACCAAATATTTTTGAAATTTTCTGTAATTTGTGACCCAGGTTGACATGTTTTTAAATTGATTTTTCTAAATAATGATACATATAAAAATATTTTTTAAAGGCTAATAAAATTTCATAAACTTATTTTCTATTTACTACATTGAACACATCAAGGGGTGTGAGAACAAATTGTTTAAAAAAATTTGTTTAAAGTATCCTAATAATTAATTATACTTCTAATATAAATATTTTATTTACCAAAATATTTATATTAATAATTGTTTACCAAAACACATTCATCAAGATCAAGTCTTTGTAACTCATGGCAACCAACAGCAAGTGCAGAAAAACCATTGTCTGTAAATAGAGAGCACCGCGCTGCCTCTAAAATTCTATAAATAAAAAAAATATTTTGGTTTCAAATTTAAAAACATTATTTACAATATCTTTTTAATAATTAATAATTTTAATAAATTACAACTTTTTGTATTTTATATTAAGTTATAAATATTTTATATATTTATAACTATATGTATATAAATATATATATATATATATATATATATATATATGTATGTATGTATGTATATATATATGAAAAGTGTATTTTCAAAATGCGGTATACCCATTTTTGTGATATTAAGATATTTGACTTTTTTCGCCATCATGTCACGGATATTTGGAAAAATTATAGTTGCTTAATGCATATATACATAAAGCATATTAGATAATGTTAATAATTGAAATATTGGTAAATAAAAAATATATATTATTTGTCTATAAATTTGCATTTACTTTCAAAGTATTGTATATCTAATAACAGCTTATTTGCAAAATGTGGTATATCCATTTTATAAAGATATTATGGAAAGTTTATAAACTTTAGAAAACCTAAATAACTTTTAATGATTAATTTTATTTAACATATTGTATAACTCTGCGTATTTAATGTTTGGTAATTATATTTTAATGATAATGTGAATGTAAACAATGTTCTGTTAAAGTAATGTCAACTACTATGTTTTACAATTATTGATTGTGAATTTAAATTTATTTCAGAGAATTAAATATGAGACAATAAACTACTTTATTTTTTTAGTGTAGTGTAGTTGTAACAATGATGATCAGGCTTTAAAAATACTGTTTTTTTCAAGGAAAGAAGCATCAACAATATGCTTATTTCTTGCTTTGTCCATAGCAAGCATATGAAAATAGACAAAGAATTGATGCATTAGAAAATGCATCAAATTTTTTAAAATATCTCCCTTATCTTCATTGGCCATTAATTTTTTATTTCCGCCTCTATTTTCAAGTCTGTTTAGAATTGGACAATTAATATAACATAAAAGTCTAGAAATGGACAATTAATATAACATAAAAGTCAATCGTTATATTTTTAATGAAATAAAATTTTAAAAATGAAACACTGCATTAGCCTCATTTTCTTTACAACAAAGCAATTGTCGGTTTAATGAAAAAATAAAATATAAGTATTATTATTGAATGCTTTCCATAAAAAGCAACAGTTAAATATATTTAAACTCATTAATATAAGTTATCTTTTTAATATATATTTTCCATCAGCATTTCATATTCAGTTCAGTTAATAAACAAAGTATGAAAGTATAAACCAACACTATAATGAAGAAATGCTTTTATTTTTTCTTGTTTCAAGCATTTAATCTTTTTTTCTATGTAAAATAGGAGATTAGATAATGCACTAATTTTGTACATTGCAACCTGCCATTTCATTAAGGCAACTTTACAAGGTTTACGCTTCCGCAGAAGAAATATACATTGGCCACAGATTGGTCACAATTAAATAGTGCACTTTGAAAATAAATTAAAAAATCCATACAGTGTTTTAAAAATAAATGTTTTTTAGAGATAATATAGGGTTATACTTTGCTAAGCATATATTCAGACACAATGTCTGCTAGGTCCTTATAAACTAAAAATAAACCACACAACTTCTACATTTTTTTTAAAACGGTACTTACCGCATTTTGAAAATAAACTCATATATATATATATATGTGTATATATATATATATATATATATATATATATATATATATATATATATATATATATATGTGTGTGTGTGTGTGTGTGTGTGTGTGTGTGTGTGTGTGTGTGTGTGTGTGTGTGTGTGTGTGTGTGTGTGTGTGTGTTATGTTTTATTACCTTATACTCTGAAATAACTACTGGTTATTTGAGTATAATATTATCAGAATCAACTCTAAACTATTTAAAACAGAAACACAAATAAAAAAGGATATACTTATGATAAAAAACATTCCAACATAAAAACAATTAAAATATATAAACAGTGTAACTGCAAAACATAGTTTTGAAATCACACATTTGCAACAGAATTAACATATATAACTGTACAAAATTTATGTTTTGTTGTGCGGAAATAACCAATGGTACTAAGATAAACAGTTATTTCGGCCCTTAAATGCAAATTGCTAAATAATCAGTATTTAGTAATTTGTTCCCTTGTTACCTAAAACATGAATAAAAGCCTACACTCTTTAAGATTAATTGATTGTTTCAAATTACAATGAATAACTTATAAGTATATCTCTAAATATACAGAAAAAAACAAAAAAAGGTTTAAAAACATTTAAACACAAATTGATTTTTAAATTTAAACACAAAATAAGAACTTAAAACAAGAAAAACTGCTTTAAATAGACATTTTATTTTCACCCTGGTTGTTCTCCCCTAACATTTTAGTGAATTTCCACCCTGGTTATGGTTGATCTCCCCTAATATTTCAAACATAATTTAATATTTAAAACAATTTTGAGATTTTTATTTTCTAGACTTTTAAAATTTTTCTTCACAAAGGAAAAAAAATTAACTTTTAGACTTAATTTTAAACTTATTGTTGAAGACATTTACGTTCATTTCAAATTTATTGTTGAAGGTAAATTAAAAATAATCTCTAGCAAGAGAAAAAATTTTACTTAATTGTCAACAGCATTTTAAAAAAGCAATCTAATTATGTAAACTAAATAAACAAATTGAATATGAAGTTAAAATGTATTATTTCATAAATAGAAAACTATAAGAACGAATAAAACCTGAAAAATTTTATTAAAAAGATTATAAAAACTTTATAATCTTTTTAAATAAAATGATAAAATATATTCTTATATTTACAAAAAATAAAAGAATATTTTATCCATGCTTTACTTTATACTCAATACTTCAATAAAAAAAAAGTTTAATGAATAAAATGCATATATGAAAACTTGTGCATTTTTTAATTATTTTTTTTATTAAAGAAGAATCAATTTCAAATTTCAATAAACTCTTAATAAAGGAAAGCACAACGCAAAATAAGTTGAAAATGAATAAAATCAAAACATTAAAACTGACTGATTTTATCCTTTCATTTGCTCTAAAATCAGAAATTTGCAAAATAAAAGAATCACTTGAAATAAATGCTCTGCTCTTTGTGTTGGATGTATAAATTAATTAACTTTATGTAAAAGCTATTAATTGAGAATGTTTTCTCAATTAATAGCTTTTAGAAAAAAACTACATATAAATTTTAATGAATTTTTTTTTGCATTTTTTTATTAAAACTTTGGTAGTATTCAATATTTTTATAAAATAATCAAGTTAACTTTATATTAATCATCCATTGCATTAATTCTGACTGCTATAGTTACTGCAACTTTGAAAACTAATTTATTCTTTATTAAAATTGCATTTTTTTGAAATGTTTTTTAAAATAAAATACTATGGAATACAAAAAAATAAATTGGTGCAAAAATTATTAAACTTTTGTTAGAAAAAATATATTTCAAAAACAATAATACAGCCATTAAGTGCTTTTTTTATTTAAACATTCTTTAAGTCTTGTTTAGTGGCATGTTTAGACACCTTTTGCCAGTTGTCTAAAACCACCATCATTTTGTCTTGGAGCCTGTCTTCAGAATGTGTCCTGCCAATGAAATCCTGCACCAATTTGATGTGTCTTTCAGCCCTGTCATTAACAACTGCTAACTGACGTACACTGGACACAAATGTCTTAAAAGATCTATTGTTGAGATTTTTCTCCAAATTTGACATGCCTTCTTCTTTCCATGCAAGAATGTCATCTTTGGTTATACCAAGATGGAGAAAAAAGTCTGATAGTTTTGAGAGGGGGCAAACTTGTGTCAAATGTTCTGGTTGTTCTTTGTCAAAGATGTTCACCTCTGGAACATCATATTTTAACAATTCCTCAAGAATATCCATCCTCTCTTTTTCTTCTAAGCGCTGGTCAGCTAAAGCAAAGATAACACACTGTGGTGTAAAATACCAAGTTTGCTGAGAATACTTAGATTAAGACCTTTGCCAATCTTTCCGTACTTTTTGAAGTAAAGTGGATCTATCATAATCTGTGATGAAATCTTGAATGCTCTAAGGTCATTGGGTAGAGCCTGAGCTGCCATTGGGCTCTTCAGGAAGAATAAACAGTGAAAGATCACTATATAATCTGTTGCAACTTGTATCATTTTAATCTCATTGATACTGAGTTGCTTGTTGTAATTCTTGGTCATCTGCATTGCTAACAGATATAATGAATCAGCCATAAATCTTGCTTCATGATGTGCACTAGGTTGTAGAAACCTGAAGTTCAATAAATCTGCTCCAAGGTAAAAAGTTACCAGTTTACATAAATACTTATAATTCACCTCTGTCAAAAATATTTGTTTTAAGAGATGTTGTGTAGAACTCCATGGTTTCATTTGCAAGATTGTAAAAGAGGGTTCCAAAAGCAAACTCAGGTCAGTTCCAATCAAATTTCTAAATGTTGGCCAATGTATTCACGCCTTTTTCAATCTTAGGCCAAAGATCTTGATGTTTCTTGTATAAGGATCGACTGGCTCCTCTTGTTTCTCCCTGTAGTTCCACCATAACATGATGAACATGTCGTTCCACCATAACATGATGAACATGTAGTTCCACCATAACATGATGAACATGTCATTCCACCATAACATGATGAACATGTCGTTCCACCATAACATGATGAACATGTCGTTCCATTATATGGTGCCTAAATTTAAAATTCTCATTTTCTGTCATTACTCTCAGAAAAATGAAAAAGAAAAAAAAATACCTGGATTTTGTAAAGTAAAACATCATACCTGCACATTAGCCAAAGAATTGGACAAGGTAGAGAATAAACAGCAATGTTTCTAATTGCACCATTACGCTTTCAAGTGTTCAAGCGAGTTGTGTCAGTACAACAAGCTATGATCTGGTCTGTTAAGTCATAATATTCAACAAGGCTTTGGATAGCCAGCGCTTGATCTTTCCTTTTGTAGGAGGGTACTTCAAGTACTCCCAGAAGAAAGTCAAGTGAACCCAACTCTGGAGATGAAACACTAATTGCCAACCTATCTACTGTTTCTGAAATCTTGACCTCCGTCCTATATTGTTTAACCAACTTTGTGTCAAAGTGAAGAACAAGTTTTAAACCCCTAATCTTATCCAGGTTCTGCCCTCTTAAAATAAGTGCTTCTATAAGTTCATGGTTTTTTCTTGCCACCTGTGACTTAGAAATGTTTAACATGTCAATATCTACTCCCCCAGCTTGGAATAATGAAGACATCATTGCTGCTTCAGCTCTTACACTAACTTGATATCTAAAAAAAACAAAATTATGTAAAATTTAAGTTGTTTTAGCTTGAAGTTTTATATATATATGTATGTAATATACTTTACTTTTTTATCCATAAACTTATTTACCTTGTCATAAATGGAATCCACTTATCTAAAACATCATTCAGACTGAGTTGAAAGCAAATCTTTGTCGAATCATATAGCTTTTTTTTCTTTGCAGTAGGAGACTCAAAGTCTGAATCATAATCTGTTCCACTACATCCACTGGAGAATTCCTGCTCAAAATTTCTCAAAGCTTCTTCTTCTGCTGCTTTTTCCAGTAATTGGCTTTCTTTTTTTTGCTCAACATTTGCTCTCAGTCTCTCCTCCAGTCGCTCTTCTTCTATCATCTTCATCAGCAGATTTTTCATCCTTTCCTCATCTTCAGAAACTATTTCAGCAAATGTTTTGTCATTTTTGTAGGACATCTTGACCATGTCCCCTTTCAAACATCTCTTCAAAATAATAGAATCCTCTTTTACAGCCTCCTTACTTCTTCTAGGATCCTGGCTAATTAACTTGAAAATGTCTTCCTTGTGTATAGGAAACAAAACATTGGCCTTGTCTAAGAACTCTTGAGTGTGTTGGCTCATGGTTTCTTTGCTCATCGCAAGGGTTCTTATCTTTAAAACTTTAATAAACTGTGTATACAAAGCAATAATTCTAGTCCTAAATTAAAAAATTACAACATTAAATAAACCCGTCAGCAAAACTTATATGTAAACATATTTTATAGATAAATATGTTTCACAGAATACTTAATTTTTATGACAAGAGACTTTATATTTAGTGGCTTACTTAATCGACCATTCACTGATGATAAAATTTTCATCAAAGCCTGCTTTATTCCAAATGTTCACCAGCTCTCTTATGATGTACACCTTGATATTTCGTTTCTGTTATCAGCAAAACACATACCACCACTGCATTTAAGCTTGCCCGTACTCGCTAAAGGACATTCAATTTTTTTCTAAAACACCTTCTTCAGCTAAACAGTGACTTTGAGCCCAGATATTTTTATGGTGGTCTACTGGGACCAAATAAGGAGGATTTACATAGTGCACAATGTTGAATTCAAAAAATTTTTTTTTTCTGGGACACCCTAATAGACAAGTATAGAAATGGTAGATTTAGTAAAAGTTTTATGGGTTTGGAAAGCTAGGATATACATATACTCAACAATTTGACAACAGCTGTTTTGATGTTTTTACAATTCGCTACAAATAATCATTGATCTATTTTTAAAATTTTACTTTACGTGAAGGCTTTAAATCAAATCAAAAATTAATTATAATGATTGTTTAAAAATAAACGCATTATGTGTAAATTAAATGTTTTGTTTAATTTTTTTTTTTATTAGGAATGTATTTTTTATGATAAATTTAAAAGTATGAAACAATTTTTCCATATCGTTCTAAAAATGTTTTAAAAGATTATTTTTTTAAGTTACTTTAAATTATGAATTAGTTAAATTAACATTAAAATTAATTTTTCCATATTGTTTTAAAAATGTTTTAAAAGATTATTTTTTTAAGTTACTTTAAACTATGAATTAGTTAAATAAAACCTTCCCATGATTTAATTGCTTTATTTTTATTTTTTTTGTTTCAATTTTTACAAAGAATTGTTTAAAATTTTTTTTTTAAAACTTGACTTACTAATTAAATCATGAAATGGTTAAAAATTACGATATTAAAAAGAAAAGGTTATTTTTTTAAACAATCTTTTTTGCAACTTGCAAAAAAAATTATTAAACAATCAATAGAAGTACTTTGTAAAAACGTTTTGCGTTACTTTTATTAAACGTTTTAAAAGATCAATGTTATAAAGTAATTTTTTTAAATGCAATTAAAAATGTATCAAAAAGTAATTTCTACTTCGAGTTTTTTTAGTTTCATTTTAAAGCTAATTTATTTTCTTTTTTGTAAGGAATTGCTTTGCTTATTTTTTAGTTTTTTCAATTATTTACCTAGTTTAAGTTTAGGTTAACGTTTCTTTTTTATGCGCATTTCTGAAACATTTAAATCATTAAAGCATGTAAACAGTCATGGTCAAGTCGTAAACAAAAAAATCATTTGTGTGGTCAGCAAAAGCGTTCGATCGCACGCCATTCATGTCCAAATTTTATTTTGTAAAATTCAATTACAGCTGGTCAAAATGTCCGGTTACTTTGTAAATTGAGCGGACAATCTAAGGTTTTAGCCAGACAATGTCCGATTGTTAAATTGAGCCCTGTATTGTTCATAGGTATTAAAAATATTATATAAAAAAAATAAAATCAATTCAAAATTATTGTTCTTTTGCTTGTAATACAAAAAATAAACATTAACAACATAAAAAAAAAAATGAAACCAATTTAAAAGTTCAACAAACTAATTTAAATAATTATTCAATAAAATTGACAAAAAAAATAACTTTCACAAACTTTTTTTTTGATGGTTCAAAAACTAGTTTTACCTAAGTTTATGACACCCAAGGCCGAGATATCTAAGTGATTGATCAGACAGCAAATCACAATCAGATATGCTTAGGAAATCTAAATCTTTGCATTGCTCTGCAATTAATTTTATGGAATTGTCTGTTATTGCCTAAGATCCAAAGAAAAAGTTGAGAATAAAATAAATCGTAAATTAAAAAAAAATCAACATTAATAAATTTGAACACAAAAAAGAACACACAAAATGACCTAAAAAATAAAACAAACTTTGACTCAAATGATACAAATAGATAATAAATACATTATAATTATAATCACAATAAATATAATCTTAATTTAAATTTAATTATCAAAAAAATTTTTATATACATTGCATCCTTGAACAACCAATTTCCTAAGATCAGAACATTTTTGTGCAATAGCTAAAATACCTTCATCAGAAATCTAAACAGATACCAAACTTCTCATTTAAATTTAAAGTGATAATTATAAATTTTACTAAAATCATTTTAAAAAAATAATGATTGAAAAACATCATGTCAGCAAATATTAACAAAAAAAATGTTAAAAAAATGTTTAAATAATAAAAAACCTTAACACAACCACGAGCTATTAACATTTTTAGTAAAGGACAACCATTAGCAATATCACACAGAGACGCTGATGTTAAACTTTGACACCAAGAAATATTTAGGTTCTGAAGCTTGGAGCAACCTTTTCTGACAGAAAAAAAATAATACAATAAATTATTTAATCTTTTATTTCATTACTTGTAAAATAAAAATTGAAATAGCAAACCCAATGTGTGACAATCCACGATCACTAATCTCTACACATGATTCAATGCTGAGTGTTGTTAAGCGGCTTGCAGAATCACTAAGAAAGATACATGTTTTGTTTGTTATCTTCCGACAATCTTTAAGAACCAACTCTTCAATATTGCGACACTCATTAGAAAAAGTTCTGACAAGTAGACGAAAGAAAAGAAATAAAATTATGCATTCAACTTCTATGTGCATTAAAAAATTTCAAACCTAAAAATACCCAAACTAATGCTGAAACACAATACGTGGTACAATAAAATGAAAATTACAAATTGAAAAAAAAATATTGAAAAAATATTTTTAATGTTAAAAAAATACCTTAATGCATCATCTTCTATTCCCTCACATCCTTCAAGATTTAGGCATTTTAAAAAACCACCACATCTTCTGGAGAGACTCTGTATAACTGATGTCTATAGTAATTTAATACTAATGTAATAAACTATATATAATAAAATGAATCATATTAAATTAATTGAAATAATATGTAAAAACTTAATTGTTTTTATCAATAGAGCCCTCATATTATATATATATTCCTATAATTTGACATCTACACTTACTATTTGTGGTAAAAACAACTCTTAACGACTCTTTGGGTTTAAAAAAGACAAAATTAGGTACAGTTTATGTCAATACCATTAAATTTAATTGAGGAAACTAATTCAATTTATCTTTTTTTTTTTAAACAACAAAAGCGGAAAATTAATAGACTAGAATGTTTTTATTTTTTTAATAAAATAAAAACATTCTGAACATTTTTATTTTTTTACTATTTATATGCATTGACTGACAAATAAGTAGAACATGAGTGCTGCTAAATCAACTGACAAACAGATAAACATGAGAGGAATGCTGCTACATTAATTGACAAATAGATAAACATGCAAGGAGTGCTGCTAAATCAACTGAAAAATAGGTTTTGGGCAATTAATTTTTAAAAAAAAAATATAAAGTTTACATTTTCTATAAAATTAAAAAAGACCAAGTAAGAGTATATATATATGTATATATATATATATATATATATATATATATATATATATATATATATATATATATATATATATATATATATATATATATATATATATATATATATATATATATATATATATATATATATATATGTATGTAAATGTTTGAAACTATTACTACTTCAATACTTCATACAAGATAAGACTTCTCATTTCAATACTTCATATAAGATAAAACTCCCTACTTCAAGACTTCATATGAGAAAAGATTCCTTTCTTCAATACTTCATATTTGGAGACATCATACTTTCATATTAAAATATGATACTAATGACTAAAATAAATAAAACACAAATATAAAAATAAGTTGAGTTTTTATAAAATGTTTAGTAGAAGTTATACTTTTCCAATTCAGGTTATAAAATATTAATTAAACCAAAATATGTTATAAATTACAACATCTTGTATGAAAGTTGGACTAATTTAATATATAAACATCAATAGATGTTTCTCTATTCTATAGCTCTCTTAATTATAATTTTTTTATTAATTTAAGAAAATTTAACTAGATTTATGATACTAGCAGCTTCAGCATTAACTACACACAATTATTTATAATTAATTACAAGCAAATAGCAATGTCATTTTTTAATAGTTACTTTAAAAACCACTTTAAATGGATTTTTTTTTGGGTTACGCAAGTATAATAAATATGGCATCCAGAATTGTGATTTTACATACTGACCATCGTCTAAATTTATACCTCGGTTTTTAGTTTCAGCATTTGTTATATTGAATTGAATCATTCTGAACTTTTTCTTTTAAATTTTTTTAGGTTTTATTTTCAATGTTTCTACTTGCTTCCCTTTTATATTGTATGTTGCAAAGACATTTGTTTTTATGATGCCCAATTATAGATTAGTCCCATTTTTCTTCGAACACGTTTTTTTGGGGTTGTTTTGTTCTTGCTGCTATTTTTATTTTTGTTTCACCAATTTATTTTTGTTTCCATTTGCATTTTATTATACACAGGGATAGCTATTTGATGGTAGTTTTGTTTTGTTGTGTGAGGTTAGCAAAAATTTAAGATTTGCACTAAATTTAAAAACTGGTTACGAAATCAGGTTACTGTCTTGTAACCTGATTTCGTAAGATTTTTTCTTACGAAATCAGGTTACAAGACAGTTTTTAAATTTCACTTTTTGATTGTTGGTTATTTGAATATCTAAAAAATTTTGTTTTCATCTTCCAGTTCAGTTGTGTATTTAGAGGCATGATGTTGACTAATTTTTTTTTTTTTTAAATATTTGTTGAAAATGGATGGTGTTATGTTTATTGATAAATCGTGCATGGCTATCATTCAAGCAGCGGATTAGACTGAAGTGCCATGTCAATAGCATTTTTTTTTGAAAAATTGCAGAAAACCTTTTACAAGTAAGGTTCATGAGGTTGTGGATTCTAGATGTGTGGAGCTTAGAAACTTCTACCGCTTGTGGTCCAAACCTTTCAAAAGTGTTCTCCGGAATTGTTGTCTATAGTTTCAAAACTTTTTAACAAGTGCAGAGTCTTGTTTTCTAGAGTCTTGTTTTTCAGCCTGCTGGAAAGCAGCGTCTGCTATCCCTATTTTCAAAAACTCTGTTAATATTTAATATGTATAATAAAAAAATCTCTTAACATTTCTAAAGCCTTTGATAAAGTTTGTCACACTGGTCTTCTCCATAAATTTTCTTCTTATGGTGTATCAGTGGTGTATGGTGTATCTTATGGTGTATGGTGTTTGGTATGGTGTATAAGTTTGTCAAACTGGTCACACTTCTCCATAAATTTTCTTCTTACGGTGTATCATGCATGTATTCTTACGGTAAGATCAGTTAAGATTTTAAAGATAATCGAATTCTTCCTTACCAATCTTAGTATAAAGGTTACCCTCAATGAACAGCACTCTTCTTCATTTCCTGTAAATTCAGGGATTCCTCAAGGTCCTATCCTTAACCCAATGATCTTTTGAATTTACATTAATGATCTCCCAGAAATTCTCACATCTAAAAAAAAAATCTAGCCATGTCCAATTTACCAAAAAATATAATGACATCCGTTATCAACAAATATTAAACAGTCAACATCATGCCATTAAATACAAGATCAAATCAGAAGATGAAGCCAAAGATTTAATTTTTTAAATATTCAAATAAACCAACAATCAAAAAGGTAATTATGATTTTAACATGCATCTAAAAAAAGCAATATCAAATATTCAGATTATGTCCAATTCAAACCACAATTCAAAAATTTTAGAAGGCATATTTTTTCATAGAGCTTTCCTTTGAAAAATTTGTAAATAAAGAAATCAATTAACAAATAGATGTATTTGCTAAGAATGAATACAAAAAGAAAATATAAAAAAAACTTGCAAATATTGTTATAAAAAAAACAACACTCAAATAATGAAATAGTCTCATCTAACAATGAAGTAACCATAGCAACTATATCATTACTGTGAATCCCAAGATTATCACAAAAACTTTGAAAAATCTTTAGGAAAGCAGGTTACTAAAAAATATTTTAAACCTTTGCTCACACAACAAAACTAAGACTAAAAACTACTAGAACTACTGTCATATAACTATCCCGGTACCTGATAGAATGCAAGTGTAAAAAAATACATTGGCAAAACAAAAATAAAATTAGTGAAAAGAACAAAACAACACTTAAAAAATTTATTGGAAGAAAAATGGGACCAATCCGCAATTGGGCATCATAAAAACTTATGTCCATGCTATATAAAATGGGAGCATATAAAATAGAACTTAAAGAACTTGAAAGAAAAGTTAGAGAATCAATTGAAATTCAGTGTAACAAATACAGACCTAAAAACGGAGGTATGAATTTAGATAATAGTACGTAAAAATGTAATTCTGGACACCACACTTTTTAAAAGTTGGGTAACCAAAAAGAAACACATTTAAAGCAAACTTTAAAGAAGCCATTAAAAAGTAACTGTTTGCTTGTAATTAAATATAATTAGTTATTTGTAATTAAATCTAAAGCTGCTAGTATCAAAAATCTAGCAAAAATTTCTTAAGTTAATAAAAATTAGTATTAAGAGAACTCGCATTTATTGATTTTTTGACATTTATCAAAATAAATCAGTATCCAAAAAAAAAAATTCACAATTTTTTTTTGGATAATTTATTTTGATATATATAAAAAAAACTATACTTTTAAATGCATTTATTCTCTTTGTAAATAATTCCAACCAACAAATTTTATCAATAATATATATTGTTTTTTGCAAAACTCTTTTATGACATATATCTCTATCAACCTTGCTTCACTATATAATTGATTACTTTTTAGTTCAGGCAAAACTCAGCAGGAAGTTTGTAACAAAAAGAAAGTAATTTGACTGCAAGGATCGTTTGCTAAATCTGACAACTAATTAGCTATAAATTGTAGCAATAAATTTAGTCAAAATTATATGGATGTTGTTAAAATACCTTTATCTTTGTTGCATAAATAATGATATGTTTAATGTTAAACTCCTTTGATAATAAAGAATACAAATAAATATAGTTATTTTGCAAGAAGAATTCAACAATAATATTTAATAAAAATTGTTAAATTGTCCTTACAACATTACCTAGTGACCAGCCCATTTTTAATGGAGATGTTTTGTTGCTTATCTTTTAAAATTTTAGATTATTTTTTTAAAAGTCATTTTGAAAGAACTGAAATCTTTCCATAACAACAATTTTTTTTTTCAATTTTTCAAGATAAATTTTTGCAAAAGGTACCATTTTCATAAGGTATAAAATTAAAAGCTATCACCTTAAAATGCGTCATCTTACAAGTGCATACTAAAACTTTCATTTATACTTTGAATGATATTGAACATATTAACAAGAAAGAAATATTATGTTTTTGTATTCTCAACAAAAAAACTAAAACAACAAAAAAGATAAAACAAAATAATAAAAATAAACATCATAATTATTAAAACGTATTTAAAACATATTTAAAACTTTTATACCTCATCATTGAATAAATAATGATATCTAACAGTTGTCTTAGGTTACTTAAGAAACTTACTCAAATATTGATTTAAATTTTTCCACCCGAAATGAAATAAATTCAAATCCGCAAATGGTAAAAAATTAGCAATAAATTTTTTTCCTAATTATATCCAAGGTTTTAGTGAAGCAAGCTGTTTGAGCAGAAATATTATATTAGTAAAACTGTTACCATTTATTTCTGTCTATCAGTGTGTCAGCTGATGAAATAATGCAGATTCCTAAGGTCTATATATAAGTGTTTTATTTAATTGGCATGCACAGATACAACATAACCAACAAGCCATTACAAATAGTGCAGCTCCAAATAACAAAATTGTCTCATTTAAAGTAAAACTTTCCTTTTACTGTGAACTACTTCAAAAATCATCATTAAAAATAAACTCTCTCCTTACAGCAACTAAATTTGTGACCATATCCTTGACATTCGATGTCAACTTACTAATATCTGCAATATGTTTACCTTTATATATAATTAACAATGGCAGACCCATAACTTTAACAGATCTTCAATAAAACTTGTTTATTGTTTTATTAATTTCAACATATTGGTTTTGTTTGAAAAGATTTTTTTTAACTTACTTTAAAAGCATCTAGTTTTTCTAAAAGATGTAATTAATTACCCCATGCAATAATAGTGGTAATATATACGCTACCATAGTGGTCTAATAAACAAAAGTATATGGCATCAAGAGAATGATATAAATTGTCTCTGGTTTGTTTGTGAGTAAAAGATCAATGAAAGTACTGGAATACATGGAATTTATTTATAACTAAATATTTAATTTAATAATAAGTTTTTAATTTGAATTTGAACCATTAAGATTCAATGATTTTGTATTTAAAGTCATTTTGTTAAATAGAAGGAAGTAGAAGTGCTAACTTTGTTGAAATCGATGTTATTATACTTTCCTCCCATTTTCAGTACTTTATTATACTATTATTATGTTTAAGGGAGAAACAATGCAGTTAACCACATTATTTATAATACTAGTAAAAATATGTTTTTAAATAATGTGTTCTATTTTTTTTAACACACAAAAAAAGTTTGCAACAATTTAAGAAAAATTAGAAAATAGAAAAAAAAACTAAAACTGATAAATAAATCAGAACATTAATACAGTAAACCATTGTAAACCTTACAAAAAACTTGTAAATTAATATGTAAATAATAAACCTTGACATCCTTTTGAAAACTAAAAAGATTGACACTTTGCCAGTTACTCCCATCCAAAGCTAAAACATTCCATGTCTAAAATATTTCATTCATTTGATTATTTAATTTATTAAAAATCTGATGCAACCATAATAATTAAATGTATACTTCACAATTTTCCAATTAATTAAAAAACAATTATGATAATGCAGTATTGGACAAAACATTTGCAACCAACATTGAACAATGCTAAAAAGTGTTCCTAATTTTACATGTCTTAAAAACGAAATGAACTATACTACCACAGCAAACAGTTCAGGATCTGGAGTCATGCCATGACATGAGCAATCAGCTGACAGGTGATAGCACACAGGCAGAATTTCGTTGACAAGTGCCATTTTGCAGCGGACAAAACAAGTGCAACTTTTTTGGTTTGTTTCATTTTCTTAAGTCTGGTCTGTCTCAACGTCACAGAATTTTTTTTAATAATTAAAGGAAGTATCCAGAAGTTTCCAGAAGCATGCAGAAGCTTCCAGAAGTTTCCAGAAGAAGCATCTGGAAGCATCCAGAAGTATCCAGAAACATTCAGAAGCATCCAGACGCATCCAGAGGCTTCCAGAAGCATCGAAAAGAAGCCTCTAGAATCTTCCAGAACAAGTTAACATAGGCTTTACTATATATAACATTTTACTATATAAGAGACATGTAAACCGACATATAATTCAGTCAGTATATGGAAGTCAATCAGTCAGTATTATCAAGACAATTTATCGAAGCGAGTTTTATCAAAGTGTTTTATCGAAGAACATCAATACAAGAAGTGAAATACAACAAGTGTTTCATTACATCAATACAGTCCACATCCAACCAAGACTTGTGTTTTACAGAGCATTACTGTATCATCACAAGGTAAATGTAACATGGTAAGCCTTGAAAAGCGTGATTATTTATTTTTATTATTTTTATGACTTCAAGTGCAAAAATGGCTTCCGACAGTCTTGGATTGGAACTAAGAAAGAAAATTATTGGCGATTACGTAAGTCGAATGTCACAAAAAAGTATTTGTGATAAATATCGCGTGAAAAAATGGACCGTATCAAGAATATGTTCCAAATATTGTTCTATGGGGAAGTTAGCAGCAGATCACAAAAGTGGAAAACCGCGTTCCACCATTTCTAGAGAGGATTCTATGATCGTCAGATCCGTCAAGAAGGATCCCTGGATATCATCAGTCAAAATACAAAAGCAATTAGAGCTGCCTGTATCGGACCGAACAATCAGACGACGTGCTGTTGAAGCCGGATTATTTTCTCTATGCCCTGCAAAGAAACCGCTGATTTTACCTAAGAACCAGAAGAAAAGACTCCTGTTTGCTACATCTCATATTAACTGGAATGTGCATAAATGGAGAATTTTCCTGTTCAGTGATGAATTGAAGTTTAACATCATTGAGAGCGATGGCATTTCCTGTGTACGTCGACCGGCCAGAAAACGCCTCGATTTACGTTACTGCCATAAGACCGTGAAGCATGGTGGAGGCAATGTAATGGTCTGAGGGTATTTTCTGCTAACGGTCTAGGTCCAATACATCGAATCGATGGAATAATGGACCCTTTCATGTATAAAAATATCCTGAAAGATATTATGTTACCTCATGCTGAATGGAATATGCCAATAAAATGGGCTTTTCAGCAAAACAACGATCCGAAACACACTGCAAAAGTAGTCAAGCAGTGGTTTCAAGACAACTACCTTGACCATTCTTTTATGTGCTTTCGCCTAGCACCTCTTCACTCTATCACCTTTCTCTTTGTTCTTTATCGTTCTCCTTCTTCCCATGATTGCACTCTTTTAGATGTTATCTCTGATCAAATTGACCATGGCCTCTCTCTTTACCCCTCTGCCAATATTGTTGTTGTTGGTGATTTTAATGCCCATCGCACTGAATGGCTTGGCTCTAACACCACTGATCCTGCTGGCACTAAAGCCTTTAACTTCTGCGTTTCTCAATCTCTTACTCAGATAGTTAACTTTGTGACTCGTTTTCCTGACAACCCTAATCATTTACCTTCACTCCTTGACTTATGTCTTGTCTCTGACCCTAGCTTATGTTCAGTTTCTCCCTTTTCTCCCTTAGGTGGTTCTGACCATGTAATGATCTCTATAAATCTTTCTTCTCGTACTTCTTTTTTGGGCTCACCTTATCATCGCACCACCTAATACTACCCTAAAGCTGACTGGGATTCCTTTCGTGATTTTCTTTGTGATGGTCCTTGGGCTGATGTTTTTCTCTCTCAGCTGACAAATGCGCCTCCTACGTAACCTCCTGGATTCAGGCTGGAATGGAAGCTTTTATTCCTTCTTGTCGGTTTCAAGTCAAGCCTCATTTTACTCCATGGTTTTCTCCTTCTTGTGCGGCTGCTATATCCAATCGTAATCATTTTTTTCATCTTTTTCAAAAGAACAACTCTCTTGAGAACAAACGGCTATTTATTATTGCAAGAAATCGATGTAAAAAGGTGCTTTCTGATGCTAAACTCCATTATTCTCAGTTCACTAAATCTCGCATCTTATCGCAGAAGTTAGGCTCTAAAGACTTTTGGAAAATCTTCAACAGCATTGTTAACAAGGGTAGATCTAACATTCCATCTCTCATTCATGGGACTGATCTTATTACCTCTCCCAAGGATAAGGCAGAACTATTTGCAAAGAACTTTTCTTCTAATTCCACTCTTGAATCTTATGGACATTCTCTTCCTTCCATTCCAGTCAAACAGGTTGACCCATTGTTAGACATTCAAATCACTTCGGCTTCTGTTGCTAAAGTCATATCTCAATTAAACTCGTCTACAGCTTGTGGTCCAGACAACATTCCTGTCACAGTCTTGCAGAATTGTTCTCCAGAACTTTCTTCAATTCTCTCTAAACTATTTAACAAGTGTTTGACTGAGTCTTGTTTTCCTGCTTGTTGGAAAATGGCATCTGTAGTTCCAATATTCAAAAACTCTGGAGAAAATTCTGACCCCTCCAATTATCGTCCGATCCAATTATCGTCTTCTTTCTGTTATTAGCAAGGTCTTTGAGTCTTTGATCAACAAATTCCTCACATCTCATCTTGAGTCAAATAAACTGCTGTCAGACAATCAATACGGTTTTCGATCCTCTCGCTCTACGGCCGACTTGCTAACTGCTGTAACTGAAAGATTTTATTGTGCATTAGATGGAGGCGGTGAGGCTAGGGTTATTGCTCTCGACATATCTAAAGCTTTCGACAAAGTTTGGCATGCTGGTCTTCTCCATAAGCTTGCTTCATATGGTGTTTCTGGGAAAGTTTTTGAGATTATCAAATCATTTCTTTCTAACTGGTTTATTAAAGTCATCCTTGAAGGCCAACACTCTTCTTTATTTCCAGTAACTTCTGGGGTTCCCCAAGGTTCCATCCTGGGCCCTGTTTTGTTTCTTATCTACATAAACAATCTTCCTGACAACCTTTCATCTAAAGTAGCTCTTTTTGCTGATGACTCAACTTTATACTCCTGTCTTGACAAAAAGTCTTCTCTTTTTGATCGCCTAGAACAAGCAGCTGATCTTGAATCTGATCTCACTTCAGTAATAGATTGGGGTTCACAGTGGCTTGTGAATTTCAACTCTAAAAAAACCCAATTGCTTACTGCAAACAACTACCGTAATATGGTCAACATTCCTATATTAATGAATGGCAATCCTCTTACTGAGTCCTCCTCTTTAAGTCTTCTTGGATTATTGCTTACTACTGACCTTTCATGGAAACCATATATACAATCGATTGCTAAATTAGCTTCTGCTAAGGTTGCTTCTCTTTATCGTGCTCGCCATTTCCTTACTTCTGATTCCGTTCTCTACCTCTACCAATCTCTTATTCGTCCTTGTATGGAATACTGTTGTCATATTTGGGCTGGTTCTTCTAACGATTCACTTTCTCTTCTTGATAAGGTCCAAAAACGCATTGTAAAAGTTGTTGGACCTGGACTATCTGCTAAGCTTGAACCTCTTTCCCATCGTCGTAAAGTTGCATCTCTTTCTCTTTTCTACAGATACTATCATGGTCACTGCTCAAAGGAGTTATCATCTCTAGTTCCATCAACTAAAATTCATTCTCGTTTTACTCGTCATTCAGCTAAGTCTCATTCGTTTACTGTATCTGTCCCTGCATATTCTAAAAACTTTTATTCATCTAGTTTTTTTCCCCGCACTTCAATCCTTTGGAACTCTCTCCCATCTTCATGTTTTCCTGACTCATACAACCTTCAACTTTTCAAGTCTTCTGTCAACCGTTTCCTTGCTCTATAACTCTGTTCTTTTTTTTTCCTAGTAACTCCCAACTTAATAGTGGTTGCTTGCAGCCTTGTTGGGAAAGAATGCAAATAAAAAAAAAAAAAAAAAAAAAAAAAACTACCTATCGGTGATGGATTGGCTGCCTTAATCTCTGGATCGCAACCCTATTGAGAACCTGTGGGAGATCGTCAACCGCAGAATTAATTGTGAAGGTGTTCGTAATAAGGATCAACTGTTTGAACAAACCCAAAAGGCCTGGGCAGCGATTACACAAATTTTCATTGATCACCTAATCAAATCTATGCCTCGAAGATACAAGGCTGTAATCAACAACAAAGGATTGGCCACAAAATATTGATAGCGAAATACAGCTTGGTCAACTTTTTATGGAGTTGCACTTGTTTTGTCCAGAAGGAAATCAACTTTTTTTAATACTTTTGATTAATTTATTAAATTTCGTGTACAAATAATGAACTTTGTGATGAATAAAACTTAAAGAGCGTTGTCTTTAAACAGTTACATAGTTATTTCTCTAAATTGAAAAAATGCAGCACTTTTATATAAAAAACTAAATTAGCATTATTTTGTTGCACTTGTTTTGTCCAATACTGTATTTATATATATATATATATATATATATATATATATATATATATATATATATATATATATATATATATATATATATATATATATATATATTTATATATTTATATATATTTATATATATATATATATACATGCATACATACATATATATATATATATATATATATATATAT